CGATTTTACGAATGATTGCACTCGCTTCTATTTTCCTTGTGTCTCCGGGTTCAGGCTTGCATGTCTACTGGCTCTTTGCCGGTCTGCGTCTGTGGTCAGTCTATCTTTCTGAGCGGTGCTGTTATTGCATACATGGAGCTTCGGCTGGTATAATACTAGCATATAACATTTGATTATCGGTGTTTTGCGAGTGTGCCTGGTCATTGTAGATGAGTTGTAAGTCTGTCTGTCAAAGGAATGTCAAGCGTAGTCGACCTGTATGATTTCCCATGTACCGTCTTTCTACACTATAAATACCTGGAAGCTCGCCATCTCAACCAAAATCTCGAGCTCTCTCAGCCTCAGCCTTATCCACACCTACAGAGAGAAGAAATCTCACTTCAGCAACCTGCGCTGCTCATCCTCCAAGATCTCTGGCAGCGTCGCCTCCAGACTCGGCCGCGAAGGCGTCCACCCCAGCACCTTGGCCGCCCTCCTCGCCCTCCCCCGCGAGTTCAGCCCCCAGCTCAGCGACTCAAACCCAGCGAACTTCTTCCCCTCCTCCAAACTGATCTGCTCCGCCCTCGACTGCCCGATCAGGCCCAGCTCAGCCGCATACTTGGCGATCGCCCGCGACAGCTCCCCCCAGACATGCTCGCCATTCTCGGCGAGGTAGTAGGCGCGCGCGCCCCAGCGCTCGCGGTCGTTGGCGTCGTCGGCGTTGCTGCCATCGCGCTGACGACCCTCTCTTTCAGCCACGGCCGCCTCGACCAGCAAGACATACAAATCGCTGAGATCGTGCACGTGCACATTGTTCCAGATGGATTTGCCCGCGCCGATGATGGGCGCTTTCTGGAGCTCGAGCGTCACGCGCGCCAGCTCGTAGACTTGCCGGCCGCGGCGGGAGGAGGGGCCTCTCCCTCTTCCTGTTCGGTGTTGTCAACAGCAGTTTCCACCCAGATACACACATCATGATAGAGCTAACGCTGAAGGTGCAAGGGATGAGAACTGGGGGGCCGTGGCCCGTGGGGCCCGTGGGGACATACCGTAGATGGTCGGCGGACACACCAGCGCCGTCCGAACGACCTCCCCCCGTTTCGCCCCCGTCTCCAGCACGATCTCGTCCACGTTCCGGTGGAACGCATGCGCTGGCAAGCTCAGCAGCTCGTCCACCCCGTCCCAGTCGTCGTACACCTTGTCGCTGGCCTCGCCGAACACGTCCCGGTCCGTGTCCGCGTACGTCAGGATCCCCGTCCCGCCCGTGTGCAGCCAGTACCCCGGCTTCGCGGGGGTGTGGCCCTTGGCCAGGCCGGCGGCGATGGCCTTGGCTGCGCCCGCGTGGTCCGAGGCGTCGGCTGTGTCTGTTTTCCTATTCTGTTAGCTTGAGGGGACTGGTTGGTTGGTTCGTCTTCCGCTGTAGGCGTAGCGTAGCAAGATGGGAGCCCTGGGCTGGGGATATCGGAGATAGGTGAATGGGGTAAGGGGATGGGCAAACTTACGGAGAACAATATCGGCGTCGGCGCTCTCCTTCTCCAACAGCTCGGAGTTGTCGAGGTCGCCGATGACTACCCGCGCGGAGGGGTATTGCTCCTGCACGGCTTGGGCTTTCTCGGCGCTGCGGACTAGCACGGTGTATTGATACTCCGGGTGCTTCTGGACGAGGGCGTAGAGGGCGTCGCCGCCGATGTAGCCGGTTGCGCCGGTGCTGGTGGGGGTTTGGTTAGTTGAAGTTGGGGGTTTTGACTAATGGGGGTGGTGGTGGACTTGCATGAAGATCTTGGGGAGGTGGGTCATTTTTTGGCTGCTTTGTGGTATGTGTATTTGGATGTGTATATATGTTGTAATCAATGGTTGTGTTTGAGAGTCTATGTTTGGCATGAATGAGGCCTTGATATAGTATGCAGGCGGAGATGATAGGCCCATGACGTGATGGTTGTTCTACAGTGCTGACTAATAATGCATCTTGAGGTTGAGGCCTGAGGCTTGCCGCAGGTGTGAAAGGGTTGGTGCCTGATATGGCAATCTCGGCCGACGGAGGTTACCGCCGACAAACTGACTGGGTTTAGATTCCGCAATGCACTGCATCTGCATGCATCCTCATTCCTCATTCTTCTTGTCTGCTTGGATCCTGTACTTGACAGTCACTCAAACCCCAAAAGTGGAAGACAGGCATGCTTGCTGACGGTGCTCATGCTAGGGGTCTCAGGACTCTAACTCACTTAAAGCTTTGGACTCACTTAAGGCCTGTGGGCCACTGCTCGACCACAATGGCACGACCCTCGAGGCAACGCAACCCTCAGCATCGAGAGAATCTTGGCAGCAGAGACAAGCAACGCCAGCCAATGGTGTTTCCGTTGTGCAGCTGCTCCCCCACTCGCTGCCCGATTCCTATTTGACAGCTGGGGGTTATGTCCGACCCCAGCTCCATCCGCTCGGGGTGTGGGCCGTTTTTTGCGTCCGATCTCCGCTCGCGGGATGAAGTTTTACCCTCTTGACGGGGACAATGCTGCGGATTTGTGCGTTTTAACAGGGCAATGGTACTTATCCCTAAGGTATTCCTGCGTCTGATGATTTAATGCGACGTGAGGGACACACGAAGGGTCAATCGGCTGGGGATCTCCACGGCGCTTTCGTTTGCCCTTGATAACGGGTTATACTCCTTGACAAATCCCTCAAAGTCACCATGAGCAGCACGCTAAATATCTCCGCGGCCGAGTTCTACGTACTGGGCCGCAGATAAGGCATGCTTCGATATTGAAAGCCTGTGACTCGTCGGACTCGGCTCCGGTCGACAGCTGCCCCTCAGGTCTACATAAAGCGGGGTGCTGTTCCCCACGTCTATCAATTTTTTCTCTCTCGTCCTTCTGGCCAGTTGCAAACTTGGACAAACAAAGATGGCGACGGAACAGGTCCTGCCGGTGACTCGCGAGCGTAACATCGAGGCCCAGAGTGCCTTTGCCTCCACTCTGGTGGCCGATGTCGAGAAAGCGCCTCACCCCAAGGAGTCTCCGTCGGACAGACCGCACACCAATGTCTACGGATCGACGATCGACACCCCGAATTCCCAGGCGGGAACGGACGCGGTTTATGCGGCCAAGGCGGCGCTCTTGAATCAAGCCTTGTTGGACATGGGCATGGGCCTGTACCAGTGGTTGCTCTTTGTGATCACTAGTGTCGGATGGTTTCTGGACAGTGTATGTTGGAACTTAAGCCATACGTGAGAATCATGAAGGGTGCTAACGTTCTAGTTCTGGCTGATGTCATTCTTCATTATAGCCCCGTCCGCCGCCAACGAGGCGCAATTCTTCTACTCGTACAACAAGGAGGCTTATCTGTTTATCAGCTTGTTTGTTGGCATCACCACCGGTGCGACGGCCTGGCCCTGGATGTCCGACTTCCTGGGCCGCAAGTGGATCTTCACCAGCACCGTCGTCCTCATGGGCATGGGAGGACTGGTGGGAGCCGGTATGCCCGCCTTCACGGGTCTTTGTGTGGTGGGATTCGTTGTGGGCTTTGCGGTGGCTGGAAACCAAGTTGTGGATGCGATGATCCTGCTGGAGTCGGTTCCTGCCTCGCACCAGTTCTTGGTCACCATCCAAGGTGCTTTCTGGGGACTGGGACAGCTTGTGGCGTCAGCTGTTGGCTGGTGAGTGTGCTCCTGTCTCGGTTGAAGACTGGTCTAACCGAGCATAGGGCGTTCATCGCGGAGTACACATGCGGCACTGGTCCCGACGAGGTCAGCACGGCGACAGCACTCTCCCACCAATCCCGCGCCACAGGATCCGGTAGCGGTGGCAGCAGCAGCAGCAGCAGCAGCTCCTGCCACTATGTCAGCAACAAGGGATGGCGATACGTGTGGTGGACGTTCGGCTGCATGACCCTGTTCCTGTACCTCTGCCGCTTCGCCTTCCCCCTCCGCGAGACGCCCAAACACCTGCTCTCGAAACGCCGGGACGCCGAAGCGACGCAGCTGGTCAAGGACATGGCCGCCTACAACAAGCGGCGCACCTGGCTGGACGAGTCGTCCTTCGCGCGCATCGACTCGACCGTGGACGCCAGCACGCCCGGGTCGCGTCGACCATCCCGCCTCAAGGCGCTGCTGTCATCCGCCGGCCCTCTCGGCTTTGCCGCGCTGTGCCTCCTCTGGTCCGTCACGGGGCTGACCTTCATCCTCCACAAGACCTACATCAGCACGTACCTCGTCACCAAGGGCGTGGCCTCGGTCACCGCCACCACCGTGACCACGGACTATCTGTACAGCCGGTACCTGTACGTGGCCATCTGCGCCATCCCCGGCCCGATCATCGCCGGCTTTCTGATCGAGGCCAAGGGTCTCGGACGCAAGCGCACGGGGGTCGTGCTTGCAGTGCTGACGGGGCTGTTCATGTTCCTGGCGACGGTGTCGCGATCCCGCGACGCGCTCTTGGCGTTCGAATGCATCCTGTCGTTCCTGGGGGCTGCCAACCTAGCCGTGCTCACCACGTACACGGTGGAGCTGTTCGCCGCGCCCTTCCGCGGCTTCGGTTTGGGTGTGATGGGTTTCCTGTGCGGGTTGTTCGGGCTGATCGCGTCGGTCGTGACGACGTTCGAGAGCGGTGCTGCCGGCGGCGCGGCGGTGTGGTTCTCCGGAGCGATCTGGGTGGTAATGGGTGCGGCTTGGATGGGCGTACCCGAGACCAAGGGTCGTGCTGCTGCTTAGTCTGGGGAAACGTAGGATAGAAGAGTAAAATGGGTGGGCGTTAGCCTATGATGGCATGGATGGTATACGAAGTATGAAATATGAAGTATGAAGTATGTATGCTGTATGTATCAATTTATCCTTCCGTAATTCAGTTCCCCATGAAATTCTCTCCACGATACCGATATCCCACACTCTGTATGTACACTTGCAGTCTATCTCAATGAGCGTATCCAATACCGAAACCACCCACAGGTCCAAATAGTCCACTCCTCGAATCGGATAAACAGCACGTACACATCCAGACCAACCCCCCAACCCCCCTCTTCCAAATTTATGAAATCTATCCCCGCCAAACCATAAACCAATTCCTCCCCCCCCCCTCCTCAACAACCACCTCCCCCTCCGAAACCCTCACAAACCCCCGCTTCACATACAGCGGTCGCCCCTCCCGCGACGCACACAGGTAAATCTGCCTCCCTTCGGCGCGCGCGCGCTCAAAGCCCCACGCCAGCAGCCGGGATCCCAGCCCTTGGGATCGGTATGCGGGATTGGTGCCGAGGATGCTGAGGTCTAGCGTCGTTGTTAGTATGAGCTCGTCGCCCAGAGAAGGTGTACTCCGGGGTATTCCCCGATATAGTAATGAAATGAGAGGGAGGGGAACGTACAATAATACCCGCCCTCGACGCCGCGCATGTCCTCCTCGCGGTGGCGGGTGGTTTGTGCGCGGAGGCGGAGCAGGAGGTCTTTGTCGGAGGGGGAGAGGTTGGGTGGGAGGGTGGGGTCGGGGTTGGGGTCTTGCGGTTGAGTTGAGGGGGTGGGTTGAGACGGATCTTGATCTTGACTTTGAACTGGGGCAGAAGAGGCAGGCGCAGGCGCAGGCGCAGGGGAAGAGGATGCGGAGGGAAGCTCCCACTCCGCGAAGGCGACGATTCTGCCTCTCCCTTTCCCTTGCATGCTCTCTTTCTCCACGCCTGGATTCGCGTCCGCATCTCTAGCTGCTGGACTAGGTCCCGTTGCATCGTCACTGGCCGCATAGCTCCCTCTCTCGCTATCGCTTCCGGCTGCGGAGCTATCACTCCCATTCTCCTCAGGGGCACTACCGATCGCCGCAGGAAGCGGCTCCGCCGCATAATCCACCATCTTGAGCACCACGCTCCGGCCGCCTGCGATCTTCCGGCGGAGGTTGGCGGTCCACCACGCGTGCATCTCCGGGGTCGGGGGGAAGACGCGCCGGTGGGCCGCGTTGGTGAAGCAGGTGAAGTACAGGGCGGCGAGGGCGGGGGCGTCGGCTTCGGTGGCTGTTTCGAGATGCATGGTGCTGCCGGTGGGCTGGTCGGATTTCTGCATGTGTGATGGATTGGGTGGGGTGGTGGGTTGGTGGGTTGGTCAAGAGGTGAGTTTGTATTGGGGGTGGATGGATGGAGTGTGGTTTTCTCGGATGGTTTGAGGAGGGATTGTTGTGGTTGGGGTTGAGGTTGAGATTTGGTCGCGGATTTATACTTCAGACTCAAGGGGTTTCTTCTTTATCTTAAAGTGTAGGTGTAGGCTAGGCTAGGCACCAGTCTTTCCTTTGTGTTTATTAGTAGATGGTGTTGTGATAAGTGCTCAGACAACCCTATACTCCGTTCTGTGCTGGGCTTACAACCTTCGGAGTAGATGCTCCTATCGGAGGCAAGAATCAGCTCCGACGGCAAGGGACCAGTTCCGTGGATCGGGGTAATCACGAGTGACTAGACTCTAGACTCGATCGGGATTGCCGTTGACACTTAGTAAGTTCCAGTTTCGATCGAAAGATGATTAGAGATTAGATAATGCATACTCAAATTAGCACAAGTCATTACTATCAGTCATACTATGCATCGTAATGCAGCCAGCAGTCACCGTCGCAGTCACAATCATAGTCACAGTCACGGTTTGCCCTCCGTTGGCGCCGGACTCCGAACCCTCTCCACTACATACGGTTCATTGGGATACGGGGAGTGTGGTTGCTGTGACGGATACATCGGACCCTGTTGCTGTTGCTGCTGCACCTGCTGCACCTGCTGCGGTTGTTGCTGTTGCTGTCTATGCTGCGGATAGAACATCCGGCGATTTGGGCCTCCCTCGCGCGGCGCCGCCCGATTCTCCGTGCTCTTCGTCTGGTCGATCTCGCGCTTCACCCCCTCGTACATGTACTCGATGATGTGGATCTCCTGCTGGATGTCCAGCTCGCAGCCACTCAAGCAAAGCTCGCGCTCGCGCTGCTCGATGTACTCGCGGATGTTGCGCCACTCGTTCTGATAGTGTTTCAGCCGGTCGGGCAACCCAGAGCCCTTGAGGTACGTGAGCACCCCCGCCATGATTGTGTTGATCGCCCCGAACGCCGTCACCGCCGAGTGCGGCCCGCTCGCGGCGCCCAGCGCCGTCAGGGCTGCTGCCACCACGATCTGGATCCCCAGGCACACGTTGATCAAGACACTAAAGAACCGGTATCGCCGCCCCGCCGAGTGCTCCGCCTTGACGACGCGCGTGTAGATGCCGATATTGGGCGCCGTGCGGCGGTAGTGCTGGAGCGTCGTTAGCGCGGGAATGCTGTCGATCCCCGTCAACGCGCGGAAGACGAGCAATTTGTCCTGCGGCGGAATGAGGGATCCGACGTCGGTGGTGGAGATGGTCAGTTGGCGGGGTTGTTGTGGTTGCTGTGGGTGGTAGGGGTGGTGGTGCTGTTGTGGTTGCTGCTGCTGCTGCGGCGGCGGCGACGGCGGCGGCGGGACAGGAGGTGGCATTGCGGCGGCGCCCATTGCCTCTAAATCTCCGCCCGGCAGCATCCCAGGCGCCGTCGGGGGGAAAACCCCCGGTGAGGTCATTGGGGGAAAATGATGCTGCTCATTTTGCTCGCGTTGTGCACGAGGCAACAAATTCATAAAACGTCCAACAAAACCGGAGCGTGGATGTTGCGCCATCGTGGCGGGTGGAAAAGGGCGGGATTAACCTCCCGAAAAACACAAAAAACTTCAAAGCCCTCGCTCCAGAGGGGGAGACCGGCCCGTTTTAAGGAGCTCTGGGGAAGGGTGGATATCCCCCCTTGGGAGGTTTAATTATTACACATCGAGCCCGGCGCACCTGATGGACGCCACCCCTTTCTGCAAATGGCGCTACTCCCGTGGTGTTCGTGCGCATGGCAGTGCAAGATAGAGAAGCCGGCTGGCCCTTCATTGGTGCTTGACGGCGTGCAAGACCTGCAGCGTCGAGGCAATTTAAGCGGCCGGCTGGACCCTTGACCCACATGGATCGACAAGCAGCAGTTCGGCACGAAATGAGAGGATTGCGTGCGGTTTTCGAGTTCAGCGCGCTCAGTTCGGCAAATTTGACCCAATTGTGAGCTACCTCGTGATGGAAGGAGAGTTCAAATGTTTGGGGGTGACAAGGCTTTGTTGGTCGCTGCAGGAGGATGTGATAGTGGCGAGCTGAACGTGTTCTTGCCGGGGCCGTCATGAAGTTACGCAGTCTGCAGCGCAGTAGCTTGAACGAAGCTGATTAGCCCGTCGACCACACGAGAGAATCACAATGAGTTTGTGGGGTTAAAGGGGGAATTGGCAGATGACTCGCGATACGGACCTAGACTCGACAGTCTGGAGCAGGCTTCGCGCTAGCAAGGATTTTTCGGCCATGGCCGCCGTATCGATCACTCCAAAAGAGACGGCCACTGTCCGAGTCTCCGAGACAACGATCAGCCACGGGGCGGGCTGGAGCTCACGGCCCCATTCTGCAAGCACTAAGCCGGGTGAACCACGGATAGGCGCCTGTCAGATTGGAGGATGGGAAGTCCAAGCGATTCGACGATTCGAGGGAGTGAAGTGTGCTGTCCGCCGTCGATCCCACTTTCGTGAACTGGTCATGAACCAGTCTTTAAGCGACGTACTTCTGTCATGTTTGTTGTGGTGGCATCGTTAACCGGAAGTTGGCGGGACGGCATGTTTCGACACTGGAATAGATTAATTAATGACCCGCCTCCGATCGGCAATTGCAAGTTGTGACTGACCGAAAGATTAATCTCCATCGCAACACCAACATCTCCCATGATGCCAGCGGAGTCTCACAAGAGTAAAGCACATGTATGGTAAGTGAGAGCGACCGAGCAGTGCAAGAGAAAGAAGATACAAAGTAGCGAGCCAAGAACGATCGAGCGATAAGAAAGACGCCGGCGGGCTTAGTTATCAGTTATCTCGACCGTTCCCCGCGCTTAGTAATCCCCCCTCTCCCCCGGGACTCTGGTCTGTCAAGCATCCCGAAAAGGAAATCGTCGCAATTGCCGGCGATAAGGGAAAAAGGGAAAAAGCGCCAGAAACCGAGTCAATGGCGCAATCTAACCCCCTCACGTCCACTCTTGCATTGACGCTCGACACTTTCGAGATTCCTTCATGTCTACTACACACTCACAATCGCAATTCACCATGGGAGACGCACCTCTAGCCCAAGACCGGATCCTCATCACCAACGCCGGCGATTTCTCGCCCGCTCTCCTCGAGGAGATCCAGGCCAAGTTCGCCCACGCGGATATCACCTATCTGAAGCTTGAGAACTTTGCCCCAATCCCCAGCGGTATGCTTGCTGTTTTCTTCGAGAGACTTTCTCGATGATCGAGAGTTTTATTATGCGAAATACTGACCCCCCCACCTCGCAGAATACGCCCAAAGAGCCACCCATATCGTGACGTTCAGCAACCTCCCCAACGTCGAAGATGTGCGCAAGTACGTGACAGTCCCCTTCTTCTTATCACTTCGACATCCCCCAAGCCCCTCAAAACTAACGTCAGCAACAGCGTCAAGCTCATCCACTTCTTCTCTGCCGGCCTCGACCACATCATGACGCACCCGATCGTCCAGACCACCACAATCCCACTGACGTCCAGCTCGGGGATCCACGGGCCCCCGATCGCCGAGTGGGTGATCATGAACTGGCTCGTGGCCTCGCGGCGGTTCGTGAACATCTACAAGAGCCAGGAGCGCCACCACTGGGGCAAGTACGGGGAGTGGATGAGCGGGGTCCACGACCAGGTCGGCCGGAAGGTCGGGATTCTGGGGTACGGGAGTATCGGGCGGCAGAGTACGTTTCCCCCCTTCACACAAAAACCGACTCCCCGACTTTAGCGGGAGGTCTATATAGCCGATAGCTAGCTAATTGTGGGCGCAAAAGTCGGCCGCGTCGCCTCCGCCCTCGGCATGCAGGTGCACGCCTACACGGCCTCCCCACGACCGACGCCCGCCTCCCGCGTCGATACGGGGTACATCGTGCCCGGCACGGGGGACCGCGAGGGCACGATCCCCGTCTCGTGGCACCACGGCACGGATCGGGCGTCGATCCACGCCTTCCTGGCGCTGGGGCTGGACCACCTCGTCGTCGCGCTGCCGCTGACCCCGCCGACGACGCATCTGCTGGGCGCGGCCGAGTTCCGGCTGCTGGCGGCGCATGCCTCGAATAAACCCTTCGTCACGAACATCGCCCGCGGCAAGATCGTCGACCAGACCGCGTTGGTGGCCGCGCTGCGCGAGGGCGTCCTCGGCGGCGCCGCGCTGGACGTCACGGACCCCGAGCCCTTGCCCGCCGACGATCCGCTGTGGGAGGCGCCGAACGTGCAGATCAGTCCGCATATCAGCGGCGCTGGGCTGGAGTATATCCCGCGGTCGTTGGATATCCTGAAGGAGAATCTGGGGCGGCTGGCGCGCGGGGAGGGGAATTTGAATGAGTATAAACGCGGGAAGGGGTATTGAACATTTCCGTTTCTAACGGGAATCCAGTTCCAAGACGGGGAGGTTATGTGGAGGATTTCTCTCCTGCGATTCAATTAAGATATAAAGAATAGATTACATGATCGTTGCCGTTGTACAGAGTATATCGAAATAAACACACATGAGGGAAGAAGAAAGAAACCTATTTCGTGAGCAAGCCACGAAGGCCCTCCTCGACGACAACGCCCACCACCCCGAAGCCGACGACCGCCCACGTCCACGGGTTGACGATCTCCTTGAACCCGGGCCAGAAGCTATTTTTCTTGGTCTTCCACTCCTGGAGCTGGTCGTACTTGTGCAGGTCCTCGGTCTTGTAGCGCTCCTCCTGGCTGGCCTCGGTCATCTTGTCGCCGCCGATGAAGCGCAGGAAGACGTAGTTGGTCAGGGGTCCCAGGATGACGAGCGGGTTGAAGTTGGTGGCGCAGTTGATGAAGGCGAAGCCCAGGTGCACGAGGGTGTCGCCGAGGTAGCTGCCGCAAAAAAAACATGGTTAGCCGGTGGCCTTTCTCCCCCTAATCTATACAAACAAGAATTGCAACTGGGGCTGGGGACCGGGAACACATACTTGGGATGTCTAACGATGCTCCACACGCCGGTGCGGCACAGGTCGGGCCTCTCGGCGCGGTGCGCCTCCATCTGCCCGTCGGCCAGGACCTCGAGCGCGAACCCGGCGCCGAACAGCCCCACGCCGAAGGCACGCAGCGCGGCCTGCACGTCCGCGTCCAACGCGACGCTGGGGCTCGTCAGCCGGAAGGGCAGGGTGAAGGGCAAGCTGATCAGCGTCAGCAGCGCGGCCTCGGGCAGGTACTGCTTCCAGAGCATCTCCTTCCAGAAGCCGACGGGGTTCTGCTTCTTGAGCTGCACGTAGCGCGCGTCGTCGGCGCCGCGGCGCAGGGTGCGCGAGGCGATGCGCGCGAACAGCCGCGTGCCCCAGGCGGTCACGAGCGACAGGAGGGTCTTGTCAGTCCACGAGAGGGCGCGCCAGGCCGTTTGCGGGGAGACGTTGTTGTAGAACACCTGGTGGCCCACGGCGCTCCACCAGGCGTTGATCACCTGGCTGGCTGGCCAGTTCCAGTCCTTGAGCTCGGCTTTGTCGGTCGCGCGCGACGCCGCCCACGCCGCCAGGTCGAGGGTCGTGTGCAGCGCGAACGAGGGGAGGATGGTCGAGCGCAGGATGCCCAGCTCGCCCGTGGCGAGGCCGGGGCTGCGGAGACGGTCCGCCTGCGCTAGCGGCGAACCTGACCCCGTGAGATTCATGGTCGCGGTTGTTGTGGTTGTATTAGAGATTTGGTCTGAGCGAAGAGAAAAAAGGATTCGCGTGAATCTGGGGGAGGGAGTTGGTTATAAATGAAGTCTGGGGTAGGCTGTTGATGTCAGTATTATGTAACGTGGTGATGACGTCGTACTGTCACTTTCTTGCTCGTCCCGAATTGGCCAAGGCCAGGCTTGGAGCTCGGCAATACAACTTGGAAGCTTGATCCGCAGGCATGTATGTGTGTGTGTAATTAGATGAAATAATTTCTATTGCAAATTAAAGCGCAATATAAGCAGCCAGCTGCAAGGAAATGTGAAACATGAGCTAATTATGCGTGTGTGACAATGCTGGTATAGGTAATGCTGTATAAGTATGCTTGGCGATCATTAGATCATTGAGACGGAGATGGAAAGTTGAAATGCAATGGAAGAACATTCGGTTGTGCTTCTTTATATCTGGCTCGTATCAATTCATGTAAACGCTGGGTCCATAGATCAATTGGGGAGTCGGTCGCGAAAATACTCGACGTGTCAGTCCCAGTCACGGGTTCCGTGTATAAGGGTTCTGGGCTCATTCCTTTAGCTAGTTCCAAGAGCAGTGAGACGTCTGTCGATACTGTCACACCCGTATCAAAAAGCGCGTGCTCCTCTGGGATATTCTCAAATGGCAGCTTGTTAGTGCTGATTCGCTTGGGTTTCGACGTCCCGTCCGAGGTCGCGTTCTGCGCGCCGTAGCGTATCAGGTATGACCTCGGATCGTGTGGAGACAGCACGGGTCTGTTTGTCTGCTCCAGCTCGACCATATCATGAGGATGGCCGGTCGCTGGATTGGAGCTGAGAGCAGCTCGCGCATTGAGGTATCGGTTCAGGTGCGGTGAGCGGGGGGTAGACGTGGCCTGACTGCTCTGGAGCTGTTTACGCCGCTCCTGTATGGCATCGCGCTTCCGGCGTTCGAAGTCCAGTGCTTTCTCAAGTTCGTCTTGACTGTCCCTGGACAGTTGATGAAGCCTTGAGGACCATCGTTCGAGGACTGGAAGTCCGCGGTGATTGCCCTGGATCTCCGCATCTTCAGTTGCTGAGGGTGAGCGGTCCAGGGGCTGCGACATCGCGGTCGCCGCAGTGGGGCCGTCAGGTACATCGTCGGCGGGGGTTTGGGGTTCCTGGAAGGTTGTATTGGACACTTCGAAACGCTGGGCTGCTAAGTTCGCCAAAGAAGGCTCCTCTGGTTCCTCACGCGGCTGCTCTGAGGACTCTAATCGGGACATCGCCACTTGCGTAGTTTTTCCAAACCAGGTGTCAAGCGATCCGTTTCCGTAACGCTCTCTGTCGCGATCCCGCATTGCACGTTTCACACTTTCGTGAGTATTGTGCTCTTGAGGACTGCGCGAAGCCTGTAGTCTAATGGGGGAAATCTGAGCTCGTGACGGAGAGATGGACAGCGTGCTCGTGCTCGTGCTCGATGCGGACGGACTCGGAAGAAGCGACTTTGGTGAATGAGCAGATCGCGACTCTAATGAGTTTCTGCGACTCTCTGCAAAATTGTCGCCGACGACTTCGTAGGTTGACTGAGTATGTGGCAAGGTCCGAGAAGACCCGCTGGGTATATTCAACTTTGTGAAAGACCATGGGTTCAGCGCTTCCAGGCGCTTCCGTCTTATGTTGTTCAAATCGGACGTATGGGATGCATCGGTATACGGTGGCGTGACCTTCAGCATTGAATGTGCTGACATGAACCCCGGCGGGTGACTGCTCGTTGTTGTACTCTGCGTAGCCTCGATCGAGTCCTTGCGAGCCAAAAGCAAGTCAAACCCATTCGACTCTCTGACCGGCGCTTTTCCCTTCTGCAAAGAGCGTGGCTGCTCGGTGGATTCAGTTTGTCCTCCGTAGATGCCGCGAAGCAAGTCCTCCACGGGGGAAAGCAGCTCCTGCGGGTCTTCAAGCAAGACATCATCCTTCGCAGGCTCGATGTTGACATCATACGTCGCTTCCTGACAGCGAATATGTAGGCACAGAAACGGGTCGGTAATGTTCGATGAGCCCTGCTGACGACTCGCCGCGTGTTTTATATAAGCCTTAAATAACTTCGCAATGTCTTGGCCGAGACCTCTCGCAGCCGACAGCGGTCTACCATCAATGCTGACGTATTGGCCCGAGTTGCTGGTTCGCGCAATATCTGACACAAGTCAGTCAAAACTCCGAATATAGTCTACGGAACACATACCAAGCTCTGGGTCCGGGAGAAGTGCGGTCAAGTGATAGTGCCGTCCGGTCTCTTTCTCCATGCCAGAGGGAGGATCATCTCCCCGTTCCCTTACAACACAGTTCGAGGCAACGTCCTTACCCACCACCTTGAAGGCGGCGTCCGAGAGAGTCGCATCCTTGCCTGGCGCGTACATCCAGTGGTTGCTCTCGTTCTTCGCCCTCAGTACTTTGAGGGACAGCCGCTTCGCCGGCTGCGCCAAGGCATAGGCCTGGACCAGCTTCTTGATGCGGACCAGCGTCTTGGCGGCGTTCTTCGAGGCCGTCTGCCGTCGCACGGGTATGTGCTTGAAAAGATCCGCGATGCGAACTGTCGTTCCCACCGGGTGCGCCGCGCGCTGCGTACTGCCGGCGGATTTTCAGTATTTCTCCTCCCCTCGACATAACGAACTTGGACGACGTACTTACCTGATCAGTTCCCCGTCTCGACCATACTTGAGCACGTGGCCGACCGACTCGTTCTCAACTCTGGTTGTCACGACCACGCTGCTGGAGACTTCGGCAGCACTGGCGAGCGCTTCGCCGCGGAAGCCCAGCCATGTTCCTCCGACATGCCGGAGATCTTCCACGGTCTGGATCTTACTGGTGAAGGCGCGTCTGCACACGAATGGGTGGTCTTCGCTTGGGATGCCGGTCCCGTTGTCTTTGACTTGCACCACATCGACAGTGTTCTGCGAGATCTCGATGGTCACAGAAGTGGCTGATGCGTCGAGGGCGTTGTCCAACAGCTCCTTAACAATCGAGCAGGGGTCGGAGATGACGGACGCCGAGCCGATCGCCCGTGCGGTTGTTGGAGGGAGCGCCGCGATTGGCATTTCTCTTGGACTCAAACAGGTTAAGAGGTCATGCTGGTAAGGTGTTTAGAGTATATGGGTTTGATTGAACAGATGCAAGGTATATAGAAGATAAGATGCTCTTGATGCGGTTGCTGCAATGGTATATTATTTGTTCCAAGTTGTTCCTGAAAAGGCGAACAGAAGATGCTCGGTATCGTATCTCCACGCACACTAATCCCCATCGGGTCAGATTCGCTTAGTCAGTCACCCAAAGCTTCGCTCGCCGAGCATGCTACGAAGCCCATGGGTTGTCTCCTCTTCACAGTGCTTTTCTCCATGCCTTGACCCATAACTACAATATTGAGCGGCAGTCCTTTGTAGTCAGTGTACTAAGTAAGTGGAAGTAACTGGCAAAATTTGAGATTCGCGGCCCGAGATCGGAGATCCAAAGCTGTGGATTCGCAAATCCGTTACAGCCATCGGCTCTGTCTCGGCAAAAGGGAGGAAGTCTACAATATGGGGTCATCAGAGAAAGATTCTTAGCTCAAAGTCTTTCACTCTTCATCTTTTCGAGTGGCAATAAGCGCATATGAGCCACGACTTTTCAAAAGATCTTACACAATCCGGAAACCAGGTACATTGATTAATCCGAGCATCCGTATTCTTTGCCAGGATCCGACGTCTTGCGCCCAGATAATCAACAATAACAAACACTTTTGTAGTGGCTATAAAACAGAAATCGTAAACATGGCGCAGACGCTTGTATACATGAAAGCGACCTGCCAGCAGAAACAACGTCAAACATCATCAGTCATTGAGGTTGTCCAGCTGCACCGTAATAACGATCGATACAATAAAAGTCGTCAGGATGATCTAAATCTCACATGGTCATATCAGAACCGCAATCTGCCGAACCTTGAGGTAAACTCACCAAGCCGATCAGTATCCCGATCAGATTCAGCTCCCAGCCCCCCGCGTAAACCGTGCCCAAGGCCACCATATTCTGCTGCTTCCAGAAGCGATACGCGCCCAGGGAAGCGATGATAATGGCCGCCCCGTAGCAGGTCACGGAGAGCGGCACGCCCACCTCGTAGAACCCCAGCGCCAAATCCGGGGAGGCCATGTGCTGGAGGCGGAATAATTGCGCGATCAGCACGCCCTGCATGGCGACCATGACAGAGGTGCGGATGTACGCCAAGAAGGTTCGTTCCAATGCTGGTTCAGGACTCCAGGTTAGTTGTGTGTGCATAATCGATATTGTTTACTTGAAGAATCGATCGATGGTGGTGGGCTATTCGCTGGAGCGTGGGTTGGGGTGGTGCAATCGCCATGTGGGATTCCGTCATTTTAGCGCGGCGATCATTGAATACGAGTAGGTACTCCATATAAATGCAATCATCCCAGACAACTGTACAGAAAAGAATGAGGAAGAATGCATCTCACCGAAATGATCCCGATTACTGCGTTGTGGCACGGTCAGCACCACGTTTCGCGTCCAGAAGCGTTCGAGACGCCCCCAGGCCCCCTTGCGTGACTCCCGACTGCGCTGAGTCTGAGTGGTGGCCTGGGAGACCGTTCGGAGCGTTCTGACGCGGTATTCCCCGGAGGAGATCGAATCGGTGGAAAAGCCGGCCTCGTCCATGTCTTGCGTCGAAACGTTGCGCAGTTCGAATGCATCGCGGTCGCTGTCGTCGTCGCTATGGCTCTCGCGACGGTGTTCGGCGGTGTTGACCGCTGTTTCAGTTGGGGGATTGGGATTTTCGTCTTGACCTTGACCTCCCACTGTGTTGAAACGGTCGTCTTCGGCATGATGCTCGCGTACTTCAGCCATTGGGAATGAAGTCTAAAGGGATCTGTACGACATTTCCTAGAATTCAGCAAGGGTTGTGTGGGCGAGAAAGGTTCTGCATGATCTGGCCACGACGAAGCTCTTCCCCGGTCGGTCGGGGGGAGTCGGCGAATGCGGTGGGAAGGACGATGATGATTGATGGATGATGTGTCACCCACCCTGGCCTTCCCTCCGATCCCCCGCGTTTTGGCAAAGGCCGGGTTTCTTATCTGGGATTTCCCCCTCTTATCGTCCATCGCTCATCCATGGTACGTACAGTCAAAACACTTAGTACCTAGACGGTAGATCTGGGTTCAATTATGGTTCCCTACACCTGCGCACCCAATTACTACTCTACAATCAACATGACCACCATCATCACAGATGAACCTTCGCCCACGCCTCCTGCTTCTCCTCAAACACCGCCATACTCGGAGGAGCAATGCTCTCGAACAGCGGCGCCTTCAAGAATGCCTTCCCAGGCCTTCCGGGCGTGAGCGTATACAACGGACTATATTAGATGAGCATCGCTCGTTTTTGTTGACTGTCGCAAAGGTCGACTTACCTCCCACAGCTTGAGCAGAAGTGACGCTGCAATCCCCGCATCAGCATCAGCATCAGCATCAGCCATATCAGCCTCTCTCTCCCACACGCACAAAAGAACAGGTGACGACAACATACCGAGATATTATTCCCAGACCGAGTGTTCGGGTCCTGATAAACCTTCTTCACCCCATTGGGATCCTCCACGGTCATGTCATTTTCATCAACGAGATAATTGACCGAGAAGACTTGAAGCAGTTAGCACCGAGTTAGCACCGAACACGCAGCAAGAGAAAAAAAACGCCAAGGCAGCTAAGCTTTGGGAGAAACTCACGTCCGCCCCCGGCTTTTTTACAGTTCGTGCTATCCGGCGCGCGTCAGCGATACACATACAAATGATCCCAGCGGTAGGGAGCTCTAGATAGACAGCTACCTACCAATGGCATATCACCGAGTTGGCAGGCTGTTGGGGTAAGTTGATGCGCACACTCGCACAGTTGCATTGGCCGATGTAAGACATTTCGATGGCTGCTGCAGTTCGGGACCGTTAATGCTGCTGGAGGGAGTGGAGTGAGCCAAAAGACTTTATAGGTTCCATCTGCGGTGAGTTATCTGTTGTGTGTGCGACGGTTTGTTTCACTTTGCACCAGTGGGGACTGCCCTCAACCTTGTTTCGGCTCATTTCCTTGATCAGGATTTATAAGCGCAAGTCGAAGCACGGGTGCATCTGTGATCTGAGGTTTGAGGTCTTGTGTATTCCGCTGGTCGGCCGGCAGTGGGTTTTGACTCGTGCCGAGCCATGAGCCCGCTCAATGTGCTTCCATGCTCGCTCTTCTGAAATGCCTATAAAACCGAGTAACCAAAATGATGCTCTGATGGTGGGTCTCACCGCCGGCCCAGACTTAATCTCATCAGTTCCACTCGGGCAATGGCTGTGGGAACATCTGACAGCCTGTGCGACTGTTTGCGCTGAAGACAACACAACATGTACATAGATTGTGCCAAGTGCACATATTGTCGCTGGCAGCGGGAGTTCGGCATTTGTTCCGCACACCAACCCATAGTGACGTCATGGATCACCGCCGCCAAGTTGCAACAGCTGACTAACCGCTCAGTACAAATATGGTCATGTGACCCGGCAGTTAGAGCGTGTGGACTTTCTCTTGAGAAGCGAATTGTATATGATCGAAGTATTGTGAATGTGAAGCAGCGTTGACCATAGCAATCACCCAGAACTCCTAGTCTTGGCAGTAGGTTGGCAGCCTGAAGAAGACTGCGTGCTATACAACCCCAAAGGTAGCCAGAGACCGTCCTCCAGCAGAAGGGCATGAATAGATAAGGTAGGCAAGATTGGAATCGTCCCAAAGAGAGAGTGTGTACCGTCGAAAGTACAGCTACCAATGTATCTATAATCGCTGTCAGTTGCAGGTCGACTTCCGCCCGAAGGCAGATAGGTACACCAAAACAGACTGCTTTATCCTTACATGTCGGGGAGAGGGGATAACCCAGCATGAATCTGTTCTGATGCAGAATCGAAAACAAAGGCATAAGGGAGCATCGGAAAACATCTGCTCCAAGAAAAGAGAATATTGAACCTGCGCCCGCGAAGTTAACCCACTCTGGAAAACACCGAGGGGAAGTCGATTCAGGTACAGTACAATGCAGTGGAAGAAGCATCGCTGCGCGTGGAAACAACTTAGACAAGTCATGGACGGTAACGTACAATTGGTATAAAGCTACTCGAGTAGCATAGTGATGAACTAGCCCATAATGGGGCCTGTTGCCTCCACCTGCTCTCCCCCGCTTCAAGATAAACGAAGTGACATAGGACTGAACTGTTATATTCTTGTCTGACGAGAACACCTGCTCACACTCGTATGGCGCTCCACCACTACCTACAGTACAATCCGGGGATAAGCGGAGAGCCACCCCCAGGGCAGTCCCAGGGAGTAATAAGCCCGAGCTGGGCCGCAGAAATACCGTCCAGTCCCGCTGACTTCACACTATAGAGTCATACGAGCCCAAGAAACACATAGTAGTAGTTTTGGCCCCCGTGCTCTAGACAACAACCACCGTAAGCCTCCTCAAACGAATTCGAGGTGTGGACCCACTAGTAGAACCATTGCGCCTCGTAAAGACACAACGCCATCTATTCCGTACATACTTCTATATAGAGCGAGAGCGCAGCCTCCTCACCCGAAACCCAGTCAGATCTTCTATCTTCCACCTCTCAACATCATCATCATGCCCCCCAGTATCTCCGTAATCATCGTCGGCGCCGGTCTGGGCGGACTCGCTACGGCCATTGGGCTGCGCCGCGCCGGCCATCAGGTCACTGTGCTGGAGAAGGCGCCGGCTCTAGGAGAGGTATGCTCTTCCTCCCCCGCCTCCGCCCCCGCCCCCCACCCAGCTTCACAAGTAGTGTCTGTCTAATAGTTGCATGCATGCAGATAGGAGCGGGGATCAAGGTCCCGCCGAACTCAGGGCGGGTCTTCCGCGAATGGGGTCTTCAGGACGCGCTGGAGAAGATCTGCATCTGTCCGCAGGAGAACCAGATGCGGTCGTACGGCGACGGGGAGGTGCTGTCGACGATGCCGCTGGGTCGGAAGAGCATGGTGGAGGCGTACGGGATCCCCTACTACGTGGTGCACCGGGTGGACCTGCACCACCTGCTGGCGGAGGCGGCGCAGCGGGAGGGGGCGGTGATCGAGCTGGGGACGGAGGTGACGGGGGTGCGCGGCACGCCGGAGCAGGCCTTTGTGCAGCTGGCCGGGGGGGCAGAGCGGGCGGCGGACCTGGTGCTCGGGGCGGACGGCGAGCGGTCGCGCGTGCGCACCTCGCTGCTGGGCCACGAGTTCCCCTGGCGCGACAGCGGCGACCACGTCTTCCGCGCCACCGTGCCCCTGGCGGCTCTGGAGGCCGACGAGCAGCTGCGCGCGCTCACCCGCGGCATCAACTGGTGGGTTGGCCCCCGCGGCAACGCCCTCACCTACCCGCTCAAGCGCGGCCGCCTGCTCAACATCGTCCTCACCCACGTCCATCCCCCGGATGCCACTGTGCAGTTCGCCCCGCAGCCCATCGCGAAGGAGGCGGTGGCCGCCGAGTTCGCCGGCTGGGACCCCTTGTTCCATCGTCTGTTGGACCTGACTACCACCTGCGCGCGTTGGACCCTGCTGCACACCGACATGCCGTCCCAGTGGACGGGCGAGACGGGCAACATCGCCTTGCTTGGGGATGCTGCGCATGCAGTCTTACCTTACCTGTGAGTTTACCTCTCCCTTCATCGTCTCTGAGAGTCTACAAGCCAATGAACCCCGGAGACTAACCACAAATCTCACGCAGCGCCCAAGGCGCAGCGCTGGCCTTCGAGGACGCCGCCGCGCTGAGCGTCCTCTTCGGTGCGATGCAAGACAAAGCGCAGATCCCGGATCTCCTGACCATCTTCGAGGCCATCCGCCAGCCCCGGGCGCGGGAGATGCGCCGCCGCGTCAGCATGGCGCGCGACATCTGGTCCCTGCCGGATGGACCTCAGCAGCGCGAGCGGGACCGCCAGCTGCGGGAGCACGAACACGACCCCTACGACGGATATCCGAACGTCCTGGCGGATCCCGCCCTCACGCGGTGGATGTTTGGCTACGATGCGTTCGAGGCGGCGCGCGAGGCGTGGCGGAAATTCGCGAGGGGCCAGTTTCCTATGACTCGCGGGACGTGGAAGTTGAACCGGGAGGGCCGGGAGTAGATGCTGTGTGATTATGGTTAGAGTACTATGAATAGCCATTTGTTTGTGGTTCCTGTTTTGTTCCTTGCTTGAGAAGAATACGAGACTTTGTAGACCAGAGAAAGGATAATAGATTGACACAGTAAGACTTGGGTTTGTGATATCTTGACCAACGCCGTCTGATAGAAGGACTTGCCTTCGGCCGTTTTCTGGGGCCAGAAATGGATGCCAGCTGGTCTGAGTGAATGGCCCCATGCACTACCACTCGAGCAACCATGCTGATGGGCTGTCATATTATCTTCATGGTCGGTGCATTGGACTAGCCAGCTACTAGCTCCTATGCCACGCGACGCTAATAACGTCCGAAGAACAGGCTGCAGGAAACATGCGGAGAATACGACAAGACCTCGAGTCTCACCAGCCTGTCGTAATTCATGCGGCGATGACGATACGCCCAGTCGAGATCGCACTTTACGAAGGATTGATATAGGTGTGTAGTCTGAGGGCAGGGATTCATGGCACTGCTCACACATGCCAGCTTCGGTCATGTGTGCACATGGCCCCCCTGGCGTATATTAAGGCAACAGAGATTGCACCACATGGCATATCCATCCCTAGCAACAATGCAAACCATGGCTACGACCGAAACACAGACGCTCCTAACCCGCCTCACGGCGGTAAGCCAACAGGTGCCTGAGGATCCCGCCGTGTCTGCCACCGAAACACAGGCTCTCCTCGCCAGTCTCGCGGCGTTACGCCAACAAGTACCTGCAGATGACGATCTTCGCCGGAAACTGTCCCACGCACTGTCGCAGGCCCTGGTGGCAGTCGAGCGCCCGTTGGAGACCGTCCACCGGATCTCTTTCGCAGTGGGTGCTGCCCGCTCAGAATCATCTTCAGTAGCGTTACTCTGACACAAAAACAGCCATTGCAACTGACGATGACTAAAGTCGGGATCGATCTGAAACTCTTTGAGATTCTCGTCTCGAGAGGAGAGTCAATGAGCCTGGTGGAGCTGACCCAGGCCACCGGAGCAGACCCTGTGCTGGTCGCGCGTATCCTCCGCTATCTGGCCGCCTTCCACCTGCTCGCTGAAACCGGAGTCGACCGGTTCCAGGCCACCCCAGCGACCCAGGCCCTCACCGTGCCGGGGTTTGCCGCGGGGATCAAGCACCAGTCAGTTCTGAGCCCCCGTCCCGTTCTCTCGTGTCAGCACGACTCACGACTCACGACGCACGACGCACGACTAATCTAATTGACCACAGTTTCGAGGTTCAACTGCCCGCCTGGGCGGCCCTTCCGGCCTTCCTCGCCGCCGCCAATTATCAAACCCCCTCCGACCGGGAGCGCACGGCATTCCAGCAGGCCCACCAGACCGACCAGACGGTCTTCGCCTGGTTTATGGGCGGCAGCGCCCCACCACGACTGTTCGAGGAATTCAGCCTGTGGATGAGCGCCCAGCGCGTCGGGCAGCCCATCTGGCTAGACTTGTTCCCGCTGGAACGATTGCTTACTTCTGCCACTGCCGCTAGAACCACGGCCCCCACTACCCTCACAGCCACCAACTTGGTAGAAACCTCGGCATCACCGTCCCTCCCACCACCCCCCATCTTCGTCGACATTGGGGGCGGCGTCGGCCACCAGTGTGTGGAACTGCTGAAGCGGCTGCCCCAGTTGCACGGGCGCGTGGTGCTGGAGGACCTCGCGCCCGTGGTGGCCCAGGCGCTGCCGCACGCCGGGTTCGAGCGGCGGGCGCACGACTTCTGGACGCCGCAGCCGGTGGTCGGGGCGGGGTTCTACTATCTGCGCAACGTGCTGCACGACTACCCGGACGAGCAGTGCGTGCGGCTGCTGGGGCTGCAGCGGGCGGCGATGGGGGCCGGGTCGGTGGTGCTGGTGGACGAGATCGTCTGCCCGGCGCGCGGGGCGGGTCCCGCCGTGGTGGATATGGACATCACCCTGCTGGCGTGCCTGGCGGCGCAGGAGCGCACGCTGGCGCACTGGACCCGGCTGTTCCGGGCGGCGGGGCTGGCGCTGGTTGAGGTCGTGCCGTATGTGACCGAGGGGGGGCATAGTGTGATGGTGCTGGAGCGGTTGGCTGAGGGGGATGTATAGTGTATGTACTTAGTGGATTTAGGATTGTGGTTCAGCTGACTGTACTCCGTACTGTATAGTGTATCTACTCGTATATGTACAGTAGTACAGTACAGTAATACTAATGATGAGTACGAAGGGAGTGGGCCATTTCCTGTGCCTGGATGTTCCATTGATACAGTACTGTACACATGTCCAATAATTCATAAGTCAATTATACAATCGCTGTATCCATACCATACCGTCCTCCACCCGAAGGAAGAAAAGGGCCCCTGCCGAGCACGGCGGAGGATGCGTCGCATCCTGCTGGATTGAAATGGAAAGGATTTTCGAAGCTTAGCATTTGTCGCTAGGTTACACAACTTAATGCGACTTGGCCGTTACAATGATTATCATGGTAACACAGACTTAATTTCTCCAGCCTTAAAACATCTGTGTTCTCTGAGACCCGTATTTCTGTCCAAAAGACAGGTCAGGATGAATTTAGTGCTTACAGCTCTCCGACCCGCCCCTTTCCTCATTCACTTAGCACGGCACTAGGGACCGCCTAGGGCTTATGTTCTCACCTGGAATCCCCCCAATGGCAAGGCTGATTGCCATGGTACGACTCGCATCCGACTTGACTTCTTACCGGTCCAGACGTCTCCAGGAACAAAGAAAGAAACCGTGTGGCACAGTAGAAGTTGAATGATTACCCAGGAAACGGCCCCCTCTCTTATCTATTATCGCATCGCATTAGTGCTGACCTGCGCGGTGTCACCGCCTCAGTTTTCCCATCAGAGAGACAACAACCCAGGGTTACATCGACGCGCTAACAGGACACTATTCTCGCTAGAGAGGTAGCTTACTCCGTACAGTGCTTTAGCAAGTTCGTACTAGGTCACTGTATTCGCTCTCCCCGAGCGAAATACCTGCCCAATGAAACGCATCGCATCCATCAGGCACAGCGCTCATCGCCGGTCTGTGTACCTAGTAAACTCCCCCTCCCCCACCCCCACCGGGCGCGAACAAGCCCCGCGACAGGGGGTGGATTATTCCATCTTGTACAGTACAGTACCTTAGCACCCATCTCCATGTCTAGCTAGCTAGAGCTGAATCGGAAAACAATCTGGGTTTGGGGGGTCAAAGGGTGCGATGAGATCGAATTCAGTATAAAACCTCCACCTCAGCCAAATAATTCAACCCATCCCATCCCCACTAAGTTACCTTTCACTCTCCAACCCCCCTCCCCCTTCACCTTCCCATCTCCCACCATCTACCCCTACCCCCACATACACACCCTCAAAACCATCCACAATGGCCGAAACCGTCGCCGAAGTAACAGCAGCCGTCAACGCCGCGCTGGCCAAACTCTCCCCGACCGACGAGATCCCCGACGCCGCGCGCTTCGGCCTCATCGATGCACTGGAGAAGCTCAAGGGCGCGGTCGAGCCCCCGATCGCGACGGTGCTGAACATCTGCTGGGCGGTGTGTTGCCCTCCCCCGATGCTCCTACCAGCTTTCCTCAAGCTTTCATCAAAGAAGAATAAATAGACTTTCAAACTGAATCGATATTGAATGGGGTTACTGACGCACCCTAACTCAAAGGCCCACCCCCTCATCGCCCTCCGCATCGCCATCGGAATGGGCATCTTCGATGCCTTCGCCGCCGCCGGCCCGGGTGCCGAGTTGACGGCCGACGAGCTGAACGCGAAGACGAAAGGGGATAAGGACATGCTTGGTTGGTCTCTTTTTTTCCAGACCACTTTTTGGTGAGCGATGTGTGGAGACATGGACTAATTCAGGTGTCTGGGGTCTGCGACAGTCCGCATCATGCGCCTGCTGAGCGCCAACCGGCTGTTCACGGAGACGGCAGCGGAGAAGTACCAGGCGCAGCCGTTTGCGCTGGCGTTTGCGACGGGGGCGCCGCCTAGCGAGGTGATTAAGAATTTGTACGTATACATGTTTCCGAGCCCAGCCCAGCCTGGGGAGTGGAGGGATACTGACTGACTGGGGCCCACCAACAGCCACATGATCCTGCGGGCGACAGCATACACGCACGAGTTCCTGGCGGCGCGGGACTACACGAGCCCCGAGGACGCGTACGAGACGCCGTTCCAGCTGGCGTACAACACGCCGCTGCACCACTTCGAGTGGCTGGGCACGAACGCGGAGGAGCAGCATGCCTTCAACACGGTGATGGAGACGAGCAACCGCGCCGTCGAGGGGGAGCAGTGGTACGACTTCTACCCGTGGGCGGAGCGGCTGGCCGCCACGGAGAACGAGGACGCAGACCGCGTGCTGCTGGTGGATATCGGCGGCGGCAAGGGCCACGACCTGCAGCGGTTCCAGACCGCCCAGAACCCGGGCCGGAAGCTGGTGCTGCAGGATCTGCCCAGCGTGATTGCCGATATCCCGGGCCCGTTGGGCGCGGGCATCGAGGCGCTCGGGTACAGCATGTTCGACGCGCAGCCCGTCCGCGGCGCCAAGGCGTACTACATGCGCACCGTGCTGCATGACTGGCCCGACAAGCAGGCCCTGCAGGCCCTGGCCCGCGTGCGCGAGGCGATGGCCCCGGACTCCGTGCTGTTGATCAACGAGAACACTATCCCCGAGACGGGCGTGCCTCGCTTCAATGCGAGTGTCGATCTGATCATGTTGTCTATGTTCTCGTCGCTGGAGCGCACGGATAAGCAGTGGCTGAGTCTATTGGAGCGCGCGGGCTTCAAGGTGGTTAAGGTGTGGCGAGCGGAGAACCAGGGGACTGGGTCGAATGCGCTGTTTGAGGCGGTGCCGGTTTGAGTTGTATAGCTAGGGTTCTAGAGCGGGGGGATACCTGTTAATTCAGTTCGGTCGTTTTTTTTCCATGCATGGAGAACAAAGTGAATAGATCCAGCCTTGTTGCACGCTGCTTCATCGTAGGCTTGATGCTGGCCATCAGTAGCATCTATGGTCTTGGGAATTTAGGGTCTACTGCAACCAGGCGGGAAACCATTCCTATAGAGTACGCCTATATCAGAAACCAGGTAAAGGCAGTTGAAGTGGACATTGCCCCCCCCCCTCCCCAATATTAGGCACTACACTGGCATTAGACATAGGAGTGGGAAAATTCATCTCACAAGAGAAAAAGAAATAGAAAGAATCAGAGAGGGAGACTGATCAAACCAACTGCCCAGAAGCAGTGAAGTCGACAAGATAGTCCAGAACACATGGGAACAAGCCAGTAGCAACAGCAAACAGGCAGGTCTCTCTAGAAGTACTACTGTACATAACTGGCCCACGGTAACTCGGCTCTTCCACAAAAACGAATCCAAGTTCATAGAGCCGGGAGAGCAAAAGCGGGCTAAAACACTCCAACCTAGTTCATTTTATCTGGGCTTCAGTAGATCCGCCTATCAGTAGCGGGAGTTGTTATCTGAGACGCATACGGAATCTTCGGCTTTAGATGCAAAACATGATAGTTCCAGGATGTGGGTTCTAAATTGGGTTACAACCAGACAACGCACCTATGCAAACATGATTCAAGTTCGCCGCCTCAATGCAAACATGATGTTGTGGGGATTCACGTTCGCCGCCTCACTGCAAATAATTTAATGATGTTCCTTCGGAGAAAGAGGAGGTTAAACAGCGGGTTCTAGAATACACGAAGTGCCGCTGTACGGCACTGATCCTCTCGGCGACTGGAAAGTCGTTGCCTTCCCAGGTCCGAGTGGCTGAGACGGGCTACAGTCCGTCTTCCCTGGACTCCGTGCTTCGTGGCCAAAATGCGGTCATCAGAGCTTTGGGGCACGCGGTGCTCGACAAATAACTCGACCTGATTGAAGCCGCTGAGAGGGCCGGTGTCCGGAGATTTGTGTCCAGCGACTTTCGCGCGTTCCCCGAGGGGCCACTGATGTATCAGGCTATGCGACCATCTTGGCAAAGAAGGGCAAAGCAGCAGAGCTCAGTCTTGCGGGAGAAAGCCAAGCAAAACCCACCATTCACCTGGTCGACATTCGTGAACGGCCCCCTTTTTGGACAGGGTAGGAGACCTCCCAACGGGTTGCTGTCTTTTGTTTCCCCATCACCCCGTGGCGTTGAGAATGCCTTAAAATGCCAACATGAAAGCACAGGCTCTGATCAACTTCCCAGACTTTGGCTTCGATGTCAAGAGTCAGTCGGCGATTATCTTCGATTCTGGGAACGAGCCTCTCACCGCGATGGCTATCAAGAACATCGGGCAGGCCGTCGCGAGCATGCTCGAGTTCCTAGAGCAGACGGCGAACCGACCTCTCCAGATCTCTGCACTGTTGACTACACAGAATAGAAATACTAAGGGTCGGACCCAAACCAAATGGAACAAGGTTCATATCAGTACGAAGGATGCCGAGCTCAAGGCTGGGGCCATGTTACGCAATGGCGATTACAAGGGAGCATACATAGGTCTCTTGGTCGCTCAGTTGTTCGAGGATGGAGCGGGCAGGGGAGTTGGGACAGGAGCAGACAATAAGCTGCTTGGAGTGGCACCCGAACGGCTGGAAGATATCATTGAGGTGGCTGTAACCGAGGCCTAGGGGCAGTGATAGTGAAGTTGAAGGTGGCTTCTGCATCCCCGCTTGACGGGGCTTGAGCTATATTTGTCTGGCAATTCTCTTGCTCTGATCTCACCTCAAATCATTCAACGGTGATAGCTAAAGGGGGCGCCCCCACGACATGACTGGTGCCGCGAATGCGAACTTAAGACTATGTCAATCTACAAAAAATCGAATAAGATTGTCCGGTGTACCTTATTTGCTGCTGCTGCTGCTGCTCTGTAAGAATGATCCATCCTCGCAAATATAGAGCTCCGGGACATTCGATAGCTAAGTATCTTCTGTTTCACAAGGTTCAATTTTTGAGTCCTGTGGCAGCTTAAGAGTGCGTATGGAAGTATCTAGCTATGGGGAATACGTGGCTGTCTGCTGGAGGTGAGGAAGTGCTTAGTCATGTGGCCAGGGATATTCTCACATCTCCTGAGGTAGCTTCTACGGGCAACCTGGATGCAAATCATGCATCGTCCGGATGGAATTTACGGCAAGCCCCTCGTGCCGATTTGCAATAACCCCATTTTTCATAGTAGACTTATAGCATTTTTGTATATTATTGCAGTTAGTGCCGTGCCCACTATGCTCCCCACTCTGTTTGCACTGTTTCAATGATTTGCCTCCTCTGCCAAGACCCTTGCTTGGCTCGGAGTTAGGAGGATTTAGGAGGGCGGGAACTCCGGAGGTGATCGGATCTCGGATCCCGGATACTTCCTTCAGTACTTCGTACTCATGAATGCGTACAGTGTATACATGTGGATACAGTCCGCAGAAGACAACACAGTCGGGCGTGCTTCCAGATTCATTTCATCCCCCATTGTGGACCCTGGTGGGCTTATTGCAAACATCTGCCAAGCTGCACTTTCATTTTATGTTTCTAATTCTAATCCACTGGCATCATTGCCCAGTACCGTCGCATTGCTGAGACAAACAAGTACGCTGCCAAAACTATAAGTATGGATCTCTATCCAGATTCTTGAGCAGAAATGCATCCTGTTTGAACGTCCTCACCGCAGCTCATGACTAAAACTTGCCTGTTATTGAAACATGAGACTCGCTTTTACACTATCTGCTTTGACCGCACTTTGCGGCCTGTCCGCGGCCGCGCCCACCGCACCGGTCAAGGTGGGCATGCAATCTCCCATTCTGAATACGATAGAGCCAGTCAGCTAAGAGAAAATGGATTAGACCACCGGTAGCTGCCACTACGACTCGTCTCCAGACATTGTGAGTGCCCTTCCTCTGCGAGAGACAGGGAATCCGCCATGCAGACACACCGCGGGCTGACCTCTCGACCAGAGTGATATCGCTGGCACCAGCTACGCAAAGCTTGTCAAGGTGGCGACCGTCCCATCGGGCCCGACATATCGTTACGTTTTCTCACATACCTCGAGTTCCTCGAAGCCTTATTTACTGTTTATCCACGGATTCCCCTCAAGCTCATTCGATTGGCGTCACCAGATCGACTATTTCGTCAGCCGAGGATATGGTGTCATTGCCCCCGACTTACTCGGATTTGGTGGCACGGATAACCCCGCTGATCTCCAGGAATTCACCCTGAAGAGACTGGTCTCGGATCTGGGCGCTATTCTTGACTGTGAAGGCGTTGAGGATGTGTTTGCAGTCGGCCATGACTTGTATGCCTTCAACACGGCCCACATTCTTTCCTCCCGGCTCGGTCCCCGCCCCCTGTGAATTCTCTCTTACCGCTAACTCTGGAAACTAGCGGGTCTGTGGTACTCTCGCGTGTCATCACCTACTTCGGGAAACGTGTGAAGGGGAGCGCCTTTGTGGGAGTGGGATACTCGCCCCCGCCCATGTCCTTCAATCAGGCTGGGGTGGAAGCCGCCAACAACGCCAGCCTCGAGACCCTCGGCTACCCGCCCTTTGGATATTGGTACTTCATGAATGAAGACGATGTCGCCCCTATCATGGACCAGCATGTAAGAGAGGCCCCCCCTTTTTTTAATCGTGTTCCTCCTGCTTTTTTCTGCCAAAAACCGCAAAAACCTCCGGTCTCACACACAGTGATTGATCTCTTCTCGTTCTCTTTTTGTGGGAAATTTTAGTTTGACTCCGCCTTTACGCTTACCTACACCTCCGATCCCACCTATATGAGAGAACACTTGTCCCCGGTGGGAGAGTACAAAAAGTGGCTTCTCGCGGATGAGATCGCTCCCTGGACCACATTCATCACTCAGGTCGAGAAGGAGACGTTCACGAACATCACCATGGCCCACGGGGGATTTGACGGGCCGGTCAAATCGTACAAGTCGCTCATGCGGGATCTCAATGCCGCTGATGAAGAAGGTAAGCCAAGCCTGCATGTTCTGATACTGCTCTTTATGTATCCCTGTTCTCTGAGAAGCAAGTCTGAAGAAGATAAATAGCCATACCAGAAACGCACGCCGTCATCAGACATCCGGTCTTGCTTCTCACTGCGAGCAAAGATCCCGTGGCGATTGCCAATGTACAGGTCTCCAACACCGCCCCCTACGCGGCAGATATCCACATCAAGTCGGTGGAGGCGGGCCACTTCTTGCAAGTGGAAAAGCCCGATGCGGTCAGCCTGGGCATCCATGAGTTTGTGAAGGAGGTCCTGGCCGCCGGGGATGCTTGCTTGTAGGCACAGCACACCCTCCACCTAACTCACTGGCCTCGTGGTTTGCAAATAGCTTCTTGATATATGTCTTCCCCGGGACGATCGGGAGGGGGGACTTGCAGCACATGTTCTGTTCCAAACCGTATGAGGCTTAAGAGCAAGAGATGTTGGGGAGCGGGGGGTGAATTTGGATGGAACTTCGTTGAGTGAAGTCAGGATCAAGTGGTGATTTTTTTTGGTGAGATGAGCACTGCTCCCATGAGCTTGTTTGAGGATAGTGAAAAGATAAGCTCTATCCAAAGCGTTAAATTGATTGTTGGGTTCATCAGTAGAAGTCAAGCTACTTAGACAAGGTCTCTTCTGGATCGGCCTCTCGGGGGTCAAGGTCAAGGCTTCGGGGTGTATTGTGTCTGGTTACCCCGGGCAATGAGGCTGTTATGCTGACGGCAGTATTGAGCTGCTCCAAGAGGGGACCGATCTGCCTTGAATTGTCTTGTCTCTGTAAACCACATTACAGCAGAGAGGATCCGAACACACCCACAATGTCTCTGCCTGTCCGCCAAACCAGAGTCTACCGCCGCTCGACCGACGGCACCCGAGTCGAACTTGTGACCGAGGACCTACCCACGTCCCTAGTATTAGAAAAGCTTGCAGTATCTTATAGATGGTAGAAAAAAAAGATTTAGAAAAGCTAAATATCTAAATTAACATCAAAGAAGTCTCTGTCTGAGGTTCGAAGTCTTGCTATTTAATATTCTCTTAACAACGGAGAGCTGGCAATTTCGTTTAGATTAATCTGAAGAAAAGACAATAAAAAGGTTGAAAAAATGTTTAAAGAAACCAGTGATAAAGGGCACTGTATAAATGGCACTAAAAGAATATCAAAAATCACAATGTTCAATTAAATCTTATAAATATAATGAAATCTGAGGCTAGGACCACATGCTCCATATATATGAGCCTGTGAACTTGATTATCTCTAAACAAACACTACAGTCTAGTATCTGCAAAAACAACTATCTCTGGATATTCATTGAATATAGTAGAGACTAATATAGAAAATTGCTTCTAATCTGATCTTCTCACTGTCTTACTTTTACATTGTTGGAGATCGGCAATTTCTGGACGATCATTTTCAAGAGAAGTAAAATAGAATAATTCAAATTCCGCTATCTATATATAGAGGACAAAAACAAATACTATCTTCAAGAACTTGAGGATTGTAATGATAAATCTTGAATATGGGAAAGTTGAAAGCGCAGTTCCTGTGAACAGAGTACTTAAAAGTACAATCCCAATCCCTATATACAAAATATCATACACATACATCCAAACCAACCCAACCAACAGAAAAACAGTGGTATAATCAACAGCAAACCCCAACAACAAACATCCCCCCTTCCAAAGTTCAATTCACCATTCACCCCCAACTAAACCGGACTCCCCACACTCGTCTCCGACTGCCTGGGCGACCCCCTCTCCCTCGAAGTCTGGGTAATCAACACCGTCTGCTGAATCTTGTTCCCCTTCGTTGCCGCCCCCATGCCACCCTTCCCCCCGTGGAAAATCAAATTCACCCCGTCATCCGCCTGGCCGGTTTTCTTCTGGGCGTGCTTCTGCTTCTGCGCGCGCACGGAGGTCTTCACGAACCCGATGCGGTACGAGCCCGTCGATCCGCCGGAGGCGGTATAGTTGCTGCTGCTGTGGTTGGTGGAGGGGCGGATGGGTTGCCCCTTCACCAGAAAATCCCAGATCGGCTTGGAGGGCGGGATGCATGCGGCGATGATCACGAGGGGAATCTCGAGGAAGGCCCACAGGTACAGCGCGTAGCCGTCCCAGGTGGGGTCCGTGCCGGCCGTGGCGGGGATAAATTCGCTGGTTTTGATGCAGGCGCATATGCCTGCGCTTTGGGGGGGTTAGGGTTGGTTCTTCGGTCTGGGAGGATACTGGGGAACTGGGGAATCGGGGTTGGGGACAAGGGGGGCTTACACGATACCCAGACTCAGAATGCAGAAGAGGACGATGCGCTTGCGGAGGCTGACTTTTAGGTCGATGATGAAGCTTAGCGGGAGGAGGGCGAGGACGAAGTCGAGGTATGCGCCGAAGGCTTTGCTCTTGTTAGCGGTTGCTTGGGGGCTTTAGGGGATGATTTGGAGGGCCCGGGGAAGATACCCGACTGCAGCATGGTGATATCCGTGTTGATGCGCGCGTCCAGACACGAGGCCTGGCCCGAGGTGCGCAGGCTCATGTCCCACAGCGCCTGGACGGGCTTGCACTGGCCGATCAGCATGCAGAGGCTCAGCACGGTGAGGCAGAAGTACAGCACGATGTGCACGGTCAGGAACCACCGGCGCCACTTGGAGGTGCGGCCCGAGATGCGCATGATGAACAGCGCCACGCTGATCTTGCCGCACATCGCCGACAGCGCCGCCGGGAACTGGTTGATGATCTGCATCTTGCCGATGTACAGGATCTCCTCCGCGCTGAGGTAGGCCACGTGCCGCGCCCCGCCGCGCAGCTCCATCGCCGTGCTCATCGCTGCCGCTGCGGTGTAGAGCATCTGTTTGGGTCGCGTGGTTAGTGACTCGCTTCTTGGGTCTTTGGGGATGCTGAGAGGGGGCCTACCCATGCCACGAGGATCGTCCAGTCGTCATACCCCAGGTCCTTTCGCATGCCCCGACAGTAGAAGCGGGTCACGACCAGCCCTACCGTGAAGGGGAAGGGGACCCAGAAGCATAAGAGCAGGCTCACGGCCCGGTTCTCGTCGGGAGGCAGAGCCGCTGACATGGCGATGCGTTGGTTTTCCTTCGCACTGCGAAGGAATTTCGGACGCTGTGTCTGGCTGCTTGTGGGGATCAGCGTGAGGCAGGGAATGCAGGGTAGGAGGGGAGGGAAGGGGACCAAGGGGGGGGGGGGTAAGCCAGGCACATACACTTATAGCGGTGGTGTCACGACGTGTCGATGACTGGCATGTCCTGCAGGGTGCAGTATGGCCCGTCATCCCATATCAACCACCTGCAGGGAACCAGTCACAAGAGATGGTTGCATTTTGGCCCTCCGGTGCTCTGCGCTACCTGGATGGCTGCTGCAATGGTGGTTGGGGTCCATTCGGTGGCGGTCGGCCTGAGGCTGCCTCCTGCCCCAGGCCCCATCTGCCACCAACCAAGAAGTGGGTGGGTAACTGTTGGCGACCGGTGCGGATTGGTGTTCTCGCGTAATCATTGCGATTCGAATGGTGGCATAGTGGTGAGGAAAGACGGCACTATGGCTTACTGACTTATAAATGAGCTTACAGTAACCCAGGCCGAGGGAGGGGGTGTTCACACATGAGGTTGGAACGTGCAGTGTAGTATACGTGGGTCTCGCCCAAGATGTCAGGTTGCAGAACCCCGCTTTGATTTGGGGAGGAGACTAGACCACAGCAAAGGAAAACAAGCGTGCTGTCTGTGCGAAAAAGTGAGTGGCTTGACTCTTGGGATTCGGCCCCGGGCGGGAGGAATCAGGAAGATATGACTGACTACCCAGCTAGGGTTATCTCCGGATTCCAGCCCCCGCCACTTCAACCGTGATTATGCTCAATGTTTCGTTCCACCACTGCTCAATACACTCACTCACTACAGTAGATTTAACGATTCCCCAGAAGGATTCGATGTCCATACAATTCTGGTAGAGCCCAGCAATTGACCCAAGCTCAGAGTCGCCAGGTTGATTTGTCAACCATCAATCAGCCCTTGGTGCCGCCCCACCAATGCAGCCCCCATGCACTGCATAAGCAGTAGTAAGGACAGCCGTATAGCCTGAACACTCAATACAGTACGTACAGTACACGTTATACGTGGATGGAGCCATGCATGCATATATACTTGTAATATAGTTTATTATACAGTACACTATCTCCTAAGGTACTCTTTTTGGCCCCCAATACCACCCCCTCTTCTCCTCTTGTCTTCACCTTCTCTTTAGGGTTCCCATTCACACTCCCGAGTCGATTTCATCCACAAACTCATGCCCGCTGAAGTAAGCCCAGTCGCGACACGTCTGGGCCATGGTCTTGGGAATCTGCAGGTTCTGGATCGCATCCGGCTGCTCCACCACGTTGATCAGCAAGCCCGCACTCACGTGGAAGGACATGTGGCAGTGCAGCGGCCAGGTGCCCGGGTTGTTGAGCTGCCACTCCAGGACCAGGTAGGCAGGGTCCTCGGGGTTGCCCGGCTGGAGGACCTGCGTGTCGCGGCTCTGGGGGTTGGCCGGGTTGGTGATGGTGCCGTCCCACGTGCCGCGGCCCTCGGCCAGCACCCAGAAGTTGTGGCCGTGCAGGTGCATGGGGTGCTGCATGGCGAAGACGTTGTAGATGACCAGGCGAATGGAGCTGTTGGCCCCGAGGTTGTAGATGTTCAGATCCGGGCTCTCCGGGTAGGAGAAGTTGCCGGTGCGGCCCAGCAGCAGCAGCGGCGTGTTGTAGTTGGCCCGGAAGGTCGAGTTGTTCACGAAGAAGAGGTAGTTCCCTGAGGCGTTGACCCCCATCGTCACCTCGAGCGTCTCCGTCAGGGCCGGCGTCGCCGGCGGCGTCTGCGCGTAGTACGGCACCGTCGTGTTCAGCGGGTCGTTGCGGCAGTTGTTGCTTACCCACGTCGCCGTCGACCCGCTGGTCGGCAAGGCTTGGGGGTTGGCCTGCTCGTAGTAGATCGCCGCCTGCGCGGTCTCGTACGTCGCGGTGTTGTTCAGGCAGTACATGTCCAGCGTGGCACGCATCCAGTACGCGTCCGTCGGCTGGCCCGTGGCTTCGACGATCACGTCGGTGCGCTGGCCCACGCCCAGCGTCACCACTTCGGTCGTGTACGGCTGCACCGGCACGAAGTCGTTGGCGATCACCGTCATCGTGTGCCCGTCGATGCTGAACTTCTGGTTCGCGTTGGCCCCCGTGTTCAGCAGCCGCAGCCGGTGCTTCTTGCCCGAGGTGAAGTTAAACCGCGCGTAGCCCGTCCCCGTGCCGTTGGCCCCGTGGCCGTTGATCAGGTTGTTGTCCACGTTGGGGAAGCTGGGCGGGATGGAGAGGATCTCCTCGAGCACCGAGTAGTAGTCGAGGTAGGTGTAGTCCGCGATCATCACCGGGCCCACGTCCAGGTCGTACTCGGCCCCGGGCTGCACGGGGCCGTGAATGATCATCGGCCCGTAGGCCCCGTCGGTGTACTGGGCGCTGAAGTGGGAGTGGTACCAGCTCGTGCCATACTGATCGGCTTGGAAGCGGTAGGTGAAGCTGCCCCCGGGGATGATGGGACACTGCGTGACCCCCGGCACTCCGTCCTCCCACGGCGTCTTCTTCTGCGTCAATCCGTGCCAATGCAGGGTCGTGCCTTCTTCGACGTCGTAGATCTCGTTGCGCACCGTCACCTCGATCATGTCCCCCCAGTTGGCCTCGATCATCGGCCCGGGGAACTGCCCGTTGATCAGGATGGCATCTTTGGAGACTCCGTCCGGCGCAACGGTCCCCCGCGCGATGGTGAAGTTGTAGTACCGCGTGACGCCCGTGTTAGGCGGATCACCCGAGGGAGATGCGTCCGACCAGGGCGCGGTGGTGAGACATGTCTGTTCATGCCGTTAGACAGTCTGAATCCGAGCGTGGATATTTCCGCCGATGAAGGGGCGGAAACAATGAGTGCATACCTTGTCTTTGCGCCACGCGGGAAGATTGCGGGTTGGAAGAAGGCCATAAGGATATCGCGCGACTGAAGAGGAAGTCGAAGTCTGAGAGGAGGCAACTGCTGCAGCCGCCGTCACCGTCGCAGTCCCGGCGACGAGTCCCAACGATTTCCAACTGAACAACATCTTTGATCAAGGGAATAAAAGAAGACGAACTGAATGAAGCACAATTGACCACAATTGACCGCGTGGGGTGTCGTTAGGGCGCATTTATACCTTCACCGGGCGACGTTTTTTTTTTTTTTCCTGTCCCATTGAAGGGACTATTGCACGACGCGCTGCAAACCCCTTGCCTCTAGTCGTTACTGGGGGATCAATCCTTCGAATCCCCCAGCAACCCTCATATCGATTTGGAGTCATCCATAATCAGGTGAGATCCTCTGTGTGCCTGCTCAATTCTTAGGTAGTTTTGTAGTTAGTGTATCGCCCCCACGCCGTAGCCTGACGCAGTCAGACTATAGTTATGTAAACATAGCCTCACCTCGGAGGAACCGACAGGCTAGGCAAGCGCCAGCCATGCCTCTTGGCGACAATTATCCGAGATGAGGCGTTATATTGATCCGGCCACACGTGGAGACTAACGTTGCCATCCAGAAGCGATCTAAAATCTGACATATGTACTGTAGCGCTTCGAAGCGCTTTCCCCTCTCCCATTCGAAACGTGCCGCCATTTTCCGGGCGGTTCCGGATCACTGCAGACTTGCCTTGTTAGGGCTAGCATCGAACTTAGTAGTAACTGACTGTTCGTACTGCTGTTCTTACCGCTATCCGGGCATTGACAGGTGGAAATTACGATGGCAGTGGCAGTAAGCGGACTGGCGTGCAGAAGCACGTTACGACCTCTCGTCATAGTCAGCATCGGCTCTCCAATGAACCAACCCTGCGTGTCGTTGATTGGGTTCTGCGCTTTTTCTATCACTCTATCACTCTATCTCCCTCGTGTCGGTCCTGCCATCGTGCCTTTCAAGGCTGCATATGTGACCAGGGCATTGGTTTCTGGAATTTAGCCCCCAAAGTAGCCTCAATACACCCTCACCCGCATCTTGTCTGATTAGAGAAGACTATACAATGACTATACAGTACTATGCTGAGCCGAGACGTTGTACATGTGTCCATGGCTTCTGGTGAGGAGGCTCAATTGCTCGAGACCTGTTTTCTGCTGCTCGGGTTGACGGTCGACTAGCTTACTGGCCTCTCCATGGACATCTGAATACGAGTGCCGTGCTCAAGGTATATAACTGGGGTTCCGTCCCAGAGGAAGCCCTGACGAACGGGCCAATTGACTGACTCAACTCAGGCAAATCTCATTCCATCCTTTTCATCCCTTCTCTCTTCCCTTCCCCTCATCTCCTCTTTGCCCACACACCAAAGAGCAGAGCAATGCCAGTTTCAACCAAGGCAAGCAACGGCAGCACGCCACCCACCCCCAGACCCAAGGGACCTCCTGCCCCCCGAGCCCAGGACCAGCCGCTCAGCCTCACCAACCCAGCCAGCTGGATCCCCTACCTCCAATTGATGCGCCTCGACCGGCCGGCGGGGTTCATCGGCTTCTACATGCCCTCGATCCTGGGGCTGGTGTACGCCGCCAGCCTGGCGGGGCCCGAGACGGTACCGCTGCGCCGGCTCCTCACACAGGGCATCTTCTGGCTGGGAGCCAACATCCTGATCCGCGGGGCGGCCTGCACGTGGAACGACAACATCGACCAAGAGTACGACCGGCAGGTGGACCGGTGCCGGGGGCGGCCGATCGCGCGCGGGGCAGTGTCGACGCAGCAGGGGCACGTCTTCCTGGCGCTGCAGCTGGCGCTCCTGGGGCGGCTGTTCCAGCCTCTGCTTTCCTTTTCGTTTTCCTCTTCCTCGACACAGACCCCGTCCGCCTACGCCGCCTACGCCACCGCCGCCATGGGCGCCCTCTACGCCCTCTACCCCTTCTGCAAGCGCTTCACCCACTACCCGCAGGCCATCCTCGGCGTCCCGCTGGCCCTGGCCATCGTCCTGTCCGCCTACTCGCTTGTCGGTGCCGGTGACGATGCGCGATGCAAAGGAGACCCCTTCCACGACCGCCCCACCACCGCCGCCACCCTCGCCCTCGCCCTCGCCGAGATCCTCTGGACCATGATCTACGACACTATCTACGCCCACCAGGACCTGCAGGACGACCTCCGCGCTGGCGTCAAGTCCATGGCCGTCCGCTTCCGCCACTCCACCAAGCCCCTCTGCGCCGCTTTGGGGGTGGGCCAGGTCGCTCTGCTTGCCTGCGCCGGTGCTTGGACGCACATGCCCCCCGTGTACTTTGTCGTTGGCGTTGCGGGGTCCGCTGTGGCGCTGGTCGTCATGCTGGTCTCGGTCGATCTGGCGGTGCCCGCTAGCTGCGCTCGCTGGTTCAAGTTGGGGTTCTGTTCTGTGGGTGGCTGTATGAATTGCGGGTTCTTTGCGGCTTATTTGGTGAGGTGGTTTGGCTGGGCGTGAGGGGAGTGGGTGTGTGGGGTTGGTCAGGGTGTACAGGGGGAGAAGGTGGGTTCTCTTGTGAAGAAAGATTTCAGGGGGGCTTTTTGTTTATTGACGCTGCGTTTGGAGATGGAGAGGGGAGGAGGGATGCTGACGAAGTTTTGGGGACGGGGCGTATACTGTGGCAATGGGAAGCAAGGATCAAGCTGGGTGAGGACTGAAGAGATTTGCTGGTCAGGTAACGCCCACTGCACGTCTTCTAGCTCTGTACATAGTTGATGTGAAAACGATAAAGCAACATGAGGTTCTATCATATCATCTAACCTGAGACTTTTGATATTTTCCGTCCCTGGTTGGTAGCGCTGCCAAGGACATGAGGTAGTAGCTCAAACGACGTCTCCATGGGGAATCACCATGGAGCACTATGCGGAGTGAATACTAATTGCAAATAAGTACTATACTGCCCCTTCACCGTCAGGATATCCTCCAGTATATGTGAGTGTGGCACAAACTGTCACTGATTTACAGTCGAGACGGTGGCTCGGAACTCCGTTATGCCGATGCCGATGCCGATGCCGAACCCCAGCATCAGCCAAATCCTCGTCTTGTCCACAACCTCACTCTGTCTATCAAACCGTCTTCCTCTTGGTACTGTATCACCAATATCATATCTAATGCCACCTTTGCGACGCAAAAATGGCCGCCAGCCCGCATGCGAGCCCTGTCGCCGCCGCAAGCTCGCCTGCGACCACGAACTACCCGGCTGTCGCCGGTGCGAACGCCTGTCGATGAAGTGCGTCTACCTCGCCAATCCGCTGACAAAAGCAAAGCCTACTAGTAGCGACTCAGAGCCGTCACCAGACTCCGGCATAGGCATTCCGAGCATTCCGAGCGATAGCAGCGCGATGCCGAGCGCAAAGACCTGCCCCGGCGCGCAGTCCACCACGCCGATCCTCGAGAGCTCCGCCGAGTATCTGGGGCCGGCGAGCTTCACCTCGGTGTTTGTGGAGCATCGCGAACGCTTCGAGGTCGACCACACACTCGCCAGCCCCGCTGCCGCTGGCGGTGGTGGTGGTAGTGGTTACACCGTCCCCAACCTACCGTCGTCGTCGCCGATCCAGCCCGCCACGAACCCGATCATCACGCCGCGCCTGCTCCAACTCGGCGTGCAGATCTTGCAGAACGTCCCCGACGAAGAAACGTGCAACCTGCTTTTTGTGCGCTGCGAAGTCTCCATGGACTCGTGCTTCCGCTTGGCCAATTGGCAGGCCTCCAAGCTGACCTGGGACGCGTATCGGCCGGTGCTGCGGGCACGCACGCCCGAGGATCTGCACACCCTCGCGCGGCGGCTGGCAGAGTGCACGCTCGTCCCGCTGCCCGCGGAGCAGGATCCGGGGCGTTGGGTGGAGTCGTTCTCCGGCCGCAAGGCACGGTGGGAGCTCATCGGCGTGCTGTTCACGTACTGGTCGTATGGGTGTGTCTCCCTGGCACCGGACAGTCCGGCGATTGCGTCCTACTGCGCGGGCCGGGCGATGAATGGCGCCAAGGAGATGATGCTCCACTTCAAGAAATGCGCATCCATGTGCATCGAGATGTGTAGTGAGCTGGGAGGGGTCAATGTCCTGTTCTTGCATCTGCTGTACAAGCATAATATCATGGAGAGCAATGTGAGTGGAGACAAGAGTAGGTGTTTTTCATTTTTTCATTTTTTTTTCTGGGGTGGGAAGTGATGGTTTGCTGACGGTGGTAGGTCTCTCTTGCTGGCGACAACACGGCGATACCATCGCCGTGACCACCTCCATCGGGCTTCATCGCGAGCCATCTTCGGAGTGGAACGAGGTCTCATTCCAGCATGAGCTGAAACGGCGTCTCTATTCGGCGATCTTCGCGTTCGACAAAGTCGCATCCACTTTGACGGGTCGGCCGCCGCTCCTGAGTCGCAGATATTCCACTACCCAGCTACCGTTGGACATCAGCGACCACGATATTCTGTCTGGTAATGTGAGGAACGCCGCTGCAAAGCTGGGTTCCGACGGGTGGGATCGCAACAGCGGTAGGAAATTTACCCAGGCTGCGATTCTGCGCGCGCGGGCCATGTTCGCGAGGAACCGCGAGGAGATATTGGAGGTCTTGGAGTCTTCGCTGGACGAGATCTCCGCCTCGGCTATTGAGACATGCTTGTGAGTCGCGGCCACACTTGCCGTGGGTTTCTACTGACTGGATATAGTAATCTTCAAGCTCAGGCCTCTGCCATCTATGACAAGCTACCCGAAAGCCTGATCCACAAAGTGGAAGATATCGACGATCTCAACATACCAGGGCATTGCCTGCATACACGGATCCTCGTGCGATTAGAGTACTTGCTGAATCAGTTTCTACTGGAAAGACTCTTGACCCGCCACAAGATCGTCACCGAGCAGGCGCTCATCGGGGTCAGCCAGGAGACGCTGTCTCTCACGTTGCTCTACTGGAAACACAAGGACCGATTCATGGCCCTTCACAACGATTTCTCATGGCTGGTAAGAACCACCCCGTGGGCTCTCACCTATCCTCGTGCGCGTACTGATCAGCAGCGTAGGCGATGTCGTACGGCGCGCCGTGTAGTGGAATCCTCTGTCTCGAGCTGCTCCGCCAGGCGGCCAACCCGCAGGCTTACAACTTGGACCTGCCTCGCTCGGCAACCATCCAGAACCTAAGCCTGTTCGTGGCGTTTTTGGATTGGCTCAAACCCTGTGGCTCGGATATCTCCGCCAAGACCCAGATCAAGAGCATCCTGCAACGCTCGCTCGACCGCATCCTCGCCATGCCGGCTTCACTGTGCAGTCCCGCGACGGCCATGGACAATTTCGGCATGCACGACTTTATCGGCGCGGAGTATCCGCATCTGGAGCTTCTGAACACGTTTAATTGGGTGGACTGGGATGGGGGATTGTAGATTGTCCAACATCGGCACTGCCTCTTGTCTAGGGTGTATCTCTATGCTCTAAATCTAGGTTCTAGATCGTCCAACTTCCGAAGCACAAAAAGGGCGACATCATCCGGACTCCATCACTGTACAACTGGATCAAGATGGGGTTGATCCAGATCGGGACCGTCCACAGCATGAACAGCGCCACCCAGACATACCCGATCATCCTCTTGACACCGGGATTCATTCTCGCCCGCAGTGGCCGGGTGAGATCTCGCACAATGCTCTCAATGACGACCCCGACGATCTGCAGACAGAAGAACCACAAGGCGCCGCTCTTGACCATCGGCACCCCGAACCCCACATCCATGAAGAGATGAATGACCCCTGACACCGTGAACGCAAGCAGAGCCCGGAGGGTCCACCCCAGTCGTCCGCTCGGCGATATCCGCAGCAGAGAGAGCAAAAAGTCCGCGTTGGAGGTCAGCAGTTGGCGGAAGGTCTGATGCCACGTTATCCTGTTGCCGGATTAGCTATGCCTGCCCTGCCATGCTCTGCTATGTCGCAACACCCGGGAAGGGACAGTAACAAGAAAAGGCCCCCCGGGGGGGAAGAGGGAGAAAAAGAAAAACATACCCCCAAAACCGCCTAACCGACCAACCCTCCCACAACGACCCAGCAACAGGCGGCCACATCACCGGCTCATACAGCCCCAACCCGACCGCCACGATGGCGCACACATTATACGCAGCGACGATCGTGGCGCGACCCACGATCCCAAACGAGAGACAGAACAGCGCCCGCACCAGCATCCTCCGCCACACCCCATCCCAGTCCCAGCCCACCTGGGCATCAGCATCAGCGAACGCGAACGCGAACGGCAACAGCGCCTCCCTCGCCTCAGGCAGCAGCGCCACCGCCTGACCCAGATTCGCATCCGCGGTCTCCATCGTGCACCCCTGGATCACCACCACCGCAACGACAACCTTCCCCACGGCACCGACCAAGAACCGTGCCCGGGACGGCACATACCCCGGCACCGCGGCGTCAAACCGCGGCAGATGCCGGATCTCCCAGGGCGTGCCGATGCGCCGGTAGTTGAAGGCGATGCTGAAGGCCCAGCGCAGTCGGGAGACCCATTCTTGGGAGGTTGAGTCGTTTTGTGTGCGTGGGGGGTTGGGTGGTTGCTGCTGCTGCTGCTGCTGTTTCGCCACCGACCCGTCCACCGACCGCGCGTACTTGGCGAATTCCCACAGCTTCTGCGCCTCGAACGACACCCGGCTCAGCACGAGCAGGTCCACCCCGTTCAGCACGTTCACCCACCCCATCGAGATCAAGGGCGCGCCGAACCGCGTGCCGCCGTAGTGGAGCTGCGCGCTGCGCTGCATCGAGTAGGCCAGCGCGAGGAGGAGGAGGGCGGTGGCCGGGCGCGCGGGGGCGCGCGGCGCGGCGAAGGCCACGACGAGGCCGGCGAGGGGCTGGATGAGGAGCCATTGTATGAGGGGGGTGGGGTCGGGCCAGTTTGGAGGGAGGGTGGACATTGTCCCTGATTTTCAGACCGGGGGAGAAGGGGGGGGGAATAAAGACTACAGTGAGGAGGAGGGTGAGACTGAAGCTGGAGCGTGAGCTCAATGGACTACGGAGAAGGCTGTGTGTGGGCTTTATGGTCGTGCGATATGCAGGTGTGACTAAGCTCCATTGGCATTGCATTTATTTAACTTATCTTTGGTAGACTATAGTGGAAGTGGCTAGACAAGAAGCGGTGTGGACCCCTTGTAGTGAATGATGTTGGTCATTCGCTGATACAAGCTGGGGCTGTTGTCGATCCCTCAATTACCCCTATCGGCGATAGTGAAGCCTTCGCCGCCATGGCTGCCAGATTGCCCAGGCTGCAAGGGGCTAGATCTATGCTCGCATTTGATTGGACAGCGGCTTGAACCTAACACAATCCCCTGAAAAACTCACACCACAGAGGCATGCATCAACTGCGGTCATCAACATTACAACCAGTAATGTTGATAATAATAAAAAAAAGAACTCCGATGCGGGGAATCGAACCCCGAGCTGCTGTGATATCTCAATGAGAGACAGCGATGTTAGCCATTACACCACATCGGAAAGTGTGGGTTGCATCATCCGTGAATCGAACACGGGCCTCATCGATGGCAACGATGAATTCTACCACTAGACCAATGATGCTATTGATGGGTTGGGGTTCGGGATTTGATCACTTGAGCCAACCAGCGGCTGGCGAGTAGGTGTCCATCGGGTTCAATTGCTTCACGTTTATTTGTGGTTAGGAGGAGGGTGCTTTTTCTATTTGGGGAAATATGAGCAGCCAGTAAATCCTCTATTTCCTTGTCTATCCTGGCCAGAATCGATCCCTCGGAGAGGTAGAGTATATTCTCGATCCAGGATGGGCGACTCTTGGCAGGGCGGAAGATATATTTCGGTTCTTGCGGGTGGTTCGAACGATCCTATCTGACAGCAGAGTTCATGTGGTTACATCGCGTCCAGACCCTAGCTTCTACCGGGACATCTGGTCCACCAAGCCCTCTAGGGTTCGATTCTCATCTACCCCCGGTCCTGTCTAATCACACCGACAAAGATGGAGCAGTGCGGGATGAGGCACACTACACAAGGGACAACAATAATCGTCTCAATAATAGAAGTTACATTTCTAGTTACTAAGCTCATCACCAGTCGGATACGACCCTACAGCAATCGCTAAGTACACTGTACGCCTCTGGCTCAAAACAGGACCAAAGCCGCCAGCCCAGCTACCAGCATGCCAACGCTTCCCGGAACACCAACGGCCGAAGCAGCGCCCGTGAACAAGGCGCCTGGTGCTCCCGCGGTGATGGAACCGTGGACAGACGAAGAAGGGGACTGGCTAGCGATGCTGGAGCTGGCTGCGACGGGCCAGCTGCTGTTGGTCTGGGAGCCAAACGACCAGGTAGACTCTGCACCTGCAGCGGCGTGAGAGGAGCTCGGGGTTTTGGGTCCCGGCTGGCCCGGAAAAGCAGTGGCATCGGGTTGAATTACGGTGGTGATCGTGGCGGTGGTTGTCTCGCCGCCGCCGGCGGTGTATACCACGGTCACGAGGGTGGTTTTTGGTCCGGCGGGGATGGATGCGGCGATGGCGTCGACGTCGGTTGGGGAACCTTCGTCTGCCGGTTGGTTGGGGCTGGATGCTGTGGACGCGGAGTTAGAAGTAGCCTGCTCAGACGAGCTTTGGTTGGTGTGGGTGTTGAGTTCGGTGGTTTCGGCGTTGTTGTTGTTGTTGTTGCTGTTGCTGCCGCTGGCTGGGTATGTCGTCTGGCTGGCGCCGGATATAGAGCCTGCTGCGGAGTCAGGGACTGATCCCTGGGAATTCGGGTGCGTGCTCTCGGAAGACTCATCCATGCCGCTGCTGCCGCTGCTGCTGCTGCTGCTAGCCTGGCCAGCAGTCTCAGCTGATCCAGACCCAGATCCCGAAGCAGAAGAGGGGCGTCCACTGCGACCTTCTCCGATGCCATCACCTCCAGAAGCCGAATGGCCCTCGTCCTTCCCGCTGGACCCCGTCGCACCGCTCTGAACGCCCGAAGCATGACCAAGAACGTCGACCCCAGCCGTGGTAACAGGCTGCACTCCCGATGCCGGCGCCGTCGTAATACCACCGGCCGAGAGAGCGGCGTAAGCGTCGTCGCCAGCTGCAGCAGTGGGTCGTCCACCGGCCACCGAGACGATCGTGGTGGCCATGGCTTCGACTTGGGTCGTGATGTAGGTGGTGCGCGCAGAGGCAGGGCAGTTCTTGACCGTCGAGGGGCACGCGGTCACTGTGTAGGTCAGGGTGCGCTCCACCGTGGAGTAGACGGGTACTTGGTTGTTGGAGCTGGCGTCGGCGTAGCTGGAGGTGTTTTGGGCACCGGAGCTGCCATGGCTATCTGAGCTGCTCTGACTACCGGAGCCATTCTTACTGCCCTCGCCGCCGTGTCCAGCAGTAGCAACCGGCACCTGGGTCTCCGTAGCCGTGACCGGACAGATGGTCGTGTACGCTACCAACGTCTCCGTAGTCACATAGGTCGTATGCTGCGAGGCCGGGCAGTTGGTGACCGACGTCGGACACGCGGTGACGGTGGCAGTGCGGGTGGTGAAAACAGTCGAGGTGGTGGACTGCGGGCCCGAGCCCTGCACGTTGGCCGGCGCAGTGGGCTCAGCGCTGGCAGTGACGGGACAGATCGTAGTTCCGACCACCACTGTCTCCGTGGTCAGGTAGGTGGTGCGCTGACGAGCTGGGCAGTTGGTCACGGTCTCCGGACAGGCAGTCACCGTTGTGGTACGTGTACTGAGGATGGTCGAGGTGGTCACCTCGCCTGCGTCAGACGATGGTCTGGGGCCTTGGGAGATTGAGTTGGGCTGTGAAGTGGGGCTCAGGGAGACAGGCTCGCTGACGCTGGCTTGAGTGGCAAGCGACGGGTGCGTGGATACTGCATTTGAGGAACGGATTGGGCTGGAAACAGGCCGGATGGAAGAAAGAATGACGCTGGAGTGTGGCTGGGGGACTGTTGCGCGGGAGGATGGGATCAGCTGAGATGATGCTGGTCCGGACGGGACAGACACTCGGGTATGGGAGCGAGTTGCAGACGACGGTTGGAGCAGGGGTCTGGACGAGCTCGATAATGCGGCAGATGACGCCGCAGGAGTCACCGACGATGCAGCCGGCGACGATACCACAGGCGTTACAGCGGAAGACACGGCAGGCGACGACACGGCTGGAGACACAGATTGTGTTGAAACTGCTATAGATGACACCACAGGGGTCGAGGCAGACGATACTACAGCAGATGATACCGAGGGAGTGGATACCACAATGGGCGACATTGCAGGAGTAGATACCGCAGCAGATGACGCCACTGGCGACACAACAGCAGGCGACACAGGCGACACAGGCGACACCACACTCGGAGTGGGCGTCACGATCTCAACCGACGAGCTCAGCGACGTCGGAGTAGGGGTCGGGGTCGGGGTGACCAGGCTGCTCGTGCAGGTCTCGGTCTGATAGGCAATGGAGATTCCATCCAGATAGAGAGTCGGTTCACCACTCGAACACATAACGTAGAAGTAGGGCCAGGTGACGGAGCTGCCCGCCCCCTGGTACTTGGTCACGTCCATGGACACATACTTCCACTCGGTCACGTCCTCGGTCACGTAGCCCGAGACCAACGGATACTGCTCGTTATTATCGAAGGTGGCGACGAACTGGCACGACGAGGCTCCGTTCAGGTAGAGCTGGTAGTAGAACGAAGTCGTCCACGTGTTGGTGGGAGGGAAGCCATTCCGGTTGCTGGACACCGACAACACGGTTTGCTGGCTGCCACTGTACATAAGGCCCGCCGTAATCTCTCTGAGGTTTATGATTAGCGCGAGCCTGTTCGTTGAAGAGTCAGAAGATCACGGCCAAGCTCACAGAAAGTATTCTCCCTCGGGTGCAGCGTCAGACTTCACCACCAATGCGGAGGATCCGGCGGTATCCCAATAGTTGGTGTTGCCCGTTTCGAAGCCGCCATTGAGCGCATAATTGGCGGTCGTCTCGCTGCAGACGGTGAGATATTCGGCCAGAGTGGGGGCCACCGCCAGCAGGAAAGGAATGAAGGACTGCTTCATGTTGGGGTTTTAAGATGCTGCAGAAAAAAAGAAGGAATCAAAGAGTGACGCAGATCATTGCCGATCGAAGAAAGAATGGACGAAGCGCAATCGGCCTCAATGTCGACGACGGAGGAAAAGCAAGAACAAGAGTACAGGGGAGACTCTTAAAGTACTGTACAAACAAGCTCCTCCCTGGGAGTGGAATTAGTGTGTAGAGCTGATGATGGCGAGCATTAGCCCACTGATTCTAGTTCCATTGGTAGTGAAGGATCTGTGGATTCAATAGTAGATCGTAAAGTCAGCGTATAGGGTTAGTTTAGCCGACATGCGGGATGGCGTGCACCAGGACGGTCAAGGGACCCGACGGCCAAAGACCTGGCTGATCTAGATCCCCGATGGCATGGTGAATAATCGGAGTCGCCGAAACCAGGATTGAGAATGTATGCGATTGACTTACTATCTCGAAGAGTCAGTAAGTTGGATGATGGTGGACCAGGGTCAGGTGACATCTTCGCTACATGACTCCGTTCCCCAGCCACACTGCAATGCCCCAGGAAGAGTGGAATCATATTTCAATCAGACTGGGGAGAACCGTCTAGATTATCAGTAATCTGATTGTCGGGATGTGAGGGTTAATGCTAGTCATGGGATCCAACCTTAAAATAGCTCCCGTGCAAGCAGTGTTAGTACAAGTCATTGATGACGCAGGAACATCAGATCTTGTGCAGTAAGTTTATTCTCAGAAGATAGAAAGAGTTATCATCGCACCATTACTGGACTATTGTAGTTCTCCAATCGGTGACGATTTTCTTACCAAGAAAATTCACTAACTACCGCTGACATCAAGCCGTTGTGCTAATAGATGACTGACTTGTGCTTCTGTATAGACAACCCACCAAGATTCTTGCTACAGCCCCACAAACTATCCAACAGTTAAATGGCACATTTTATTCGATCGCAAGACAAAGACCCGCATATCCACAAACAAAAAAATAACAAAAAGATGGAGCTGCGGGGAATCGAACCCCGGACCTCTCCCATGCTAAGGGAATATTATACCACTAAACCACAGCCCCATGTGTTGAGAATCGGGTCCAAAGTATGCTCCATGTTGCTAATGTTTTGCTGCAGTCGTTGCTGGGTAAATTCGCAGAGCAGAACGGGCCATCCATGGCCACTTCACCGGTGGATCGGCCTCAACCAGTAGATCAACCGTTGACCCAAGCACCGAATCATTCATCTCTAACCCCGAAATATGACTGCAATATCCCCAGCCAAAGCCATGACATATATACTTTCACACCAAGCCCTTGCTTTCAAGCACTCGTCAAGTATAGCTCTCAAGTACAAAATCGCTGGCTAAACCAAGGCTCTGGCACCAAGCCCGAGTGGCTGACTAGCTGTACTGTACATGCCTCCCATTCCCAAACCAAGAGCATTCGCCAAGCCTCCCCCCCTACGCAAGGATCCTCCTGAATAACTGATCATGCAGCAGTGTCTCCGAATCCCCCATCCTCAAAGTGACGCACACCTCCCACGGCGCAGTCGCACGGTCCCGGCCCCCACCACCAGACATCCGCGCCGGGAGAAAGATACATCCCCCCGGCACCAGCGCCAGCCCCGGCTCAAAATCCTCAATATATCCTAGCCCCGCCCCAAAGTCCAAGGAATAAATGTCGAGATCCCGCCAGCTCGTCACAATAATCCCCGCGGGCCGGCCTTCGACCGTCGTCCAGTCGTCGTGGTCGGCCACGACGGCCGAGGCGCTGTACGCCACCGTCCCGTCCATCGCGGACAGTCGGGTGCGCACTCTTAAGGCCAGCTGCGCGAGGCGGAGGAGATCTCTCTCCTCGTCTGTCGTGGGGTGACCCTCTGCCGCGGGGAGGGGCTTCGGTGGGTCGATTGTGTCGTGGATGGGGAAGATCATGTTCCCCACGTATGTACCTGGAATGCGGGGACGCACGCGGTTGCGCAGGTTGACGGCCATGAGGAAGTCCGCTGGTTTGGGGGTGGTGATGGTGGTAGTGGTAGTGGGGGTTGATGCTCGCTCTGGATGAAGCACGCGGTCGACGCAGAGGGCCAGCGTCGCGGTGAGGATGTCGTTGCTGGAGATCCAACTTGCAGTTGTCGGGGACAGGGCCTGAAGCTGCTCCGTGCAGAGGTCTTTCAGCTGCGCTATTTTGTGTGGATCGAAGGTGTACCGGTTGGTCTCGACCACGAATGCCAGCGCGGACTCCATCGCGTTCCACTGCTCCGTGGAGGTGCTGGGGTCGAAGACGGGCGGGCCCAGTTCGACGCCGTGGTCGAGACGGGTCTTGCACTGGGCTGGGAAGCTGGAGACGTGGTTGCGGAGGGTGATGTGCGTTGCTGCGATGATCTGGGCGAGAGGAGTCTCGGTTGGCTCCGTGCTGAATTGACAACACTCGGCTAGGGCTTCGAGGATCACGCCGGCTCCCGTGCCGTCGAAGACGTTGTGCCAGAAGGACATGGCCAGGACGAGCTTGCTGGGGAACAAATTGGCCTGGAAGCGGAGCACGGGTCTCTGCTCCGAGGCGGGAATGAACGTGAGGAGGGCCAGGTACGCTTGCACTGGGTGCGATCGTAGCTCCTCGTCTCGGTCGAAGTACTTCACCTGTAGAATGGAGACTTGAGAGAGAGGGACCTGCGGTGGCGCGATGTGCATACGACCCTTCTGCCCATCGGGTTTTTGATGGAAGACCACATCGCCCTCCAGCCAAGGCAGTTGCGAAACGAGCTTGTCAATGCCACCCTTGAGGGTGTTGAGAGCAGTTTGTGGGTCGGGTGTATCAAAGTACAAGATGAATGGCAGGAAGAGTTTGGCGGGAATGTGATCAAGAGGGCTCAGGGCCACAGAATCAGCACTGGCTACGCCGGGCATGATGAAAGCTGTGAGACTCAACCTGAATAGCAGCAGTCTTGAGGGTAAGATCGCCACAAGGCGTTCGATGCGGGAATAGGCATATTGTATCCTGCGATCAGCCCCTGACGGACAGTGGGCTCTCAATTTCACCTCATCCCCAGGGAGAGCCTGTATGGGCTAATTGATGCATTTGAGGGGAATGCGCCATTCAACAAAGATGTTTCTTTGTTTGACACAGCCGAATACAATGAATTCACCACCAAGGACGAATCAAGGGCGATAGCTCATGTCAGGTCTTGCTAATCGGATCCACAGCCGACCACATTTAATAACGGGTTGACATATGACCTCCTGACGCCAGTGCTAACAGCGCGCTCATTTGGCCCATTCAGGGACTGGGTGGGTCGTGTGGGCACTCGGTCTCAAGGCATCAGCCCTAAAGGAACCGGCTGGCTTAGCGTCAGAATGGCAGGTTTGAATGCCTTCTAGTACTAGGGACGGTGCGATTGCGTACGCAGACCCTTGCAAATGTCTTATTTGTGCTTCGATGAGGGTTTTAGTGACTTGATATCGCTTGACTGGAAAAATGTTGAAGTGGCCTTGGTCGGAGTCCAGTCAACATTGTGCTGGTTTCCCTTTCCCCCCCCCCCTTCCGAATCCTATAACTAGGTGATTGTTCAGCAAGCCTGAACAATCCACAAGACAACTATAATGAGGAGACTATGGCCAACACAAATGTCGCTCCGTCGCAGTTACCTGATCATACGCCGCTGATGGTGCGCACCGTGAGGGGTGTGATCGGGACGTGTGCTGTTCTCGCATTAGTGGTCTGCTGCCTGAGGGTATGTCGCCACTTACACAAAACCTGGAACACCCCAATTAACTTCACTGATCATAACATATAGCTCTATGTTCGCAGATGTGTTATACGTGCTATTGAACTGGATGACTACTTGGTTCTCCTTGCCCTGGTATGCATCGGACTTCTCCATCAGACAACCCAAGACCAATGTTCTGACCGTGCAAGCAAAGGTAATGGTCCTAGCTTTCGCGGCGCCATCACTCATCTTGACCCGGTATGCAATCGGGTACCACCAGAATACTGTTCCCGCCGCAAACATGATCACACTGGCAAAGGTCAGAGGTTCATCCATCCAGGAGCTACAGACAAAACCAGGATGCTTACCTTCACCACCAGTACGTTTACGTCCTCTTTTGCCTGTATCTCTGGGTTGCATTGGCAGTCAAATGCAGCCTGACCGTGTTCATTATGCGCATCTTCCCCACGCCAAAGATCCGCCGCATTGGACTGATGATAATGGCACTGATGGCCATTGTGACCGTGTCCGGCGAGCTGCCTTTGATCCTGCAGTGCTGGCCCGTCCGCGCCACATGGGACAAAACGCTCCCGGACTACCAATGCTTCTCCGATGCCGTGCTGGAGAACCTCCAGCTCTACCAAGCCATCCTGATGCTCCTGTTCGACCTGATGATCATCGGCCTCCCGATGCCAACAATCTGGAGGCTGCAGATGCCCATCCAGCGCCGTCTGTTCATCATTGGGATCTTCTGTCTCGGTTTGAAGACACTTCTCCCTTCTCGCCATTCCAATTCTATCTCCTCTAAAGACTGACTAGATCACAGGACTCGTCGCATGCGCCGCCGGCCTCGCACGTATCCCACTTCTGGGGTTCCAAGAGAACTCCACAGACTATACATCTACCATCCACCCCTTTCCCCTGGCCCAGCTGCACATGGTAGCCTAACACCCCTGCGCTAGATGTCGGCGCCGTCCCACTCATCCTCATGAACCTCGAGTACGCACTAGGCTTGATCACCGGATCACTGCCGTCGCTTCGCGTCTTAGTCCGATTCATCCCCGGCCTCAACAGCAGCAAGAGAAGCACGTATCCAACTCAGGAGTGGGAACTGAGTGAGCCGGCCGAGTGTCGACTCGGGGGCCGACCGCGCTGGATGCATCGATTACGAGGCGGCGACGCGAAGAGCATCGAGAGCGAGAGTCAGCAGCATATTTTGGAGGTACAGGGGAGTCCTCGCCCCCCGCAAACTGCGGATTGCGGGTGATGGCGTTTGCAAGGGGTGGGGGGCGCATTCATAGACTTTCCGGCAGTATACCAAAGTATGTGTCGCTAGGCACAGGACTATAATTTTTAGTCATGGGAACAGTCAGACGGTAGGCTTTAAGTTACACCCCAAAGCTAAACTGACGAACTGAAACCAGGGTGTCAGACATATATGCTCCAAGAAAATGCAGGCTGCGTATCGCCTCTTTCACCACCACCCGACAAACACCAACACCAAGCCCCCATCCACCAAAACACTACCCCTACACCCCTCTACACCCCCCTCAACCCCGCCAGCTCCTTCCGCATAAACGCCGCATAAAACACAACCTCATCCCCGGCGACCCCGACCTCCCTCCACCTCGGCTCCTCCTTCCACAACACATACCCGCGCCGCGCATACCACCACTGATTGCAGCCCATGACGGGCGGCTCGGCGCCGGTGCGGGCCCACACCCCTGTCCCCTCGGGCGACTCATCCAGGTAATGGCGCTCGCTCAGGGTCGTCAGCGCCAGCCACCGGCACTGCGTCTCGGTGGTTGCCGCCAGCGCCTCGACGAGGTCCATGGCGCGGCTGCCCAGCCCCAGACCCCGGTACGCCGGGAGGATGAAGAGGGTCTGGACGGTGAGGACGGCGCGGTCGGCGCGGGCGAGTTCCTCGTCTGCGGGGTCGCTGTACGCGTCCAGCGAGATGTGGCCCGCGTAGACTACTTTGTTCTCCCCACGGGCTGCTGCTGCTGCTGTTGCTGCTGCAGGATCCGGGATGCACAGCCAGTAGAACCCCTTCAGGCCTTCGTCTTGCTTGCGCTTCCAGCTTTCCAGCTTGGGGAGGTCGTGGTCCCAGCCGCAGATCTGGCGTTGGCGGTGGATCTCGGCGAAGTCGGCGGGCGAGTGCAGGTTGATTGGGGCGAGGTGGCAGGGGGGGGTGGTGGGTTTCATTTTGTTGGCTTCTGTTCTGTTGTGTATCATGTGGTGTGGATGAATCACGATTTGTGGGAGTGTGTTGTGTGTGGAGAGAGGAGTTGATTTTTGATGTTCTGGAGTGGGCGGAGGAGTCACTGATAAGGGAGGCTCTGTGGTACTAGTGCTTACGTGCTTAACGGTTTTGATTAAAGATGGAGGCAGAAACATAAAGGTAATAAGTAAGACACGCTAATATCGATTAGGTTATGGGGGAGATGTCTAGACGAATTAGCTCCCTCTTCATGGCGCAATGCCGATGTTTTTATGCGCTAAAAAACATTACCACAATTATTATACAGACTTGTTCCCTTGGAAGAACCTTTTCACCACATCACCGTCCCGATAAAATGCACCAGCTATGAATCGATCTCAATGGACCAGTGCGGGCTTTGTCTTCGTCCAATGACATTTTTGGTCGACCACCGAAAAGAGTCAAGTCACGACGACGACAACCATTTGTCGACAGCCACCTGCATCAGTCTCGCCGTATATTCCACCTGCGCATGTCATTAGAGATCACACTGAAAACAATAAACAAAAGCGCAACTTACCACCTCCGGATCCATCAGCGTATCGTGATGCGCATGGTCGATGACATGACACTCGACGTTCTCCTCCCCGACCATCTCCGCCCAACCCACGGGGCCCATCGACTCCCGCGGCGTCTGCAGCCATTCCTGACTGGTGCGCGCCTGCGTCTCGGGGCCACACCGCCGCAGGATCTCGTCCGCCTCCACCAGCACGGCGGGCAGTCGATCGGGATCACCGTGGCCCGCCCAGATCACGAAGATCCGAACCGGAGTGGAGTCCTCGCTGGCCGTGCGCATCGGGCGGGGCGAGTATTTCAGTTTCGCCCGGACCGAGGCCAGGCTGTGCTCTCGCCGGTACGATGGGATCTCCATGTCGGGCTTGCCGGCGCGCCGGATCGCCGGGTAGAAGCCGACGATCTCCAGCAGCTTGACCGTGGGCTCCAGGACATGCGGGTCCGGACGCGGCAGCGGCATGTCCAGGTTGATGATGCCCAGGACTTGCTGGCCCTGCTGCCGGAGCTGGTAGGCCTCCTCGTAGGCGAGGATCGCGCCCATAGACCAGCCCCCCAGCAGGTATGGGCCCTCGGGCTGCAGTTTGCGGATCGTCTTGACGTACAGCGCGGCCGCCTCTTCGACTGTCCAGGTGGCGTCGGACTTGCTCATGAGGAAGGGCGAGCCCAGCGCGTAGACGGCTAGGTCGTTGGCGAATTTCGGGAGCGGCTCGTACGAGAAGGCGTAGCCGGAGCCGGGTGGGGTCATGAACAGGCAGGGGACGCCGGGTTTGGGAGTGCCTTGGATGAGGGTGGAGAAGCATTCGCGGGGTGTTTCTTGCGTGGCGGAGTCGATTTCGAGAAGGCTGGATGGGTCGGTAGAGGATTGTAGACGCTCAATGAGCCCGCCGATGGTGTGGGGGGTGAAGAAGAGGGATGATGGGAGAGACACGCCTGTCTCCTGTCGGATCTGGTTGAGCAGCGCAATTGAGGTGATGGAGTCAATCCCGAGGTCAATCATTCGCATGGTCGGGTCGATATTCTCGCCCTTTGCGGAGACAATGGCTGCTAACAGGGATTCTATGAGCTGCGAGTTGGGATGCGACTCGAGTGTTTCCTGGCCACCTGATTCGATCGCTTCCATCTCCTCTGCGACCGTGTCAGCTGCCAGCCAGTCTGATAATGTGACGCTGCTGGCCATGTCCTTCCAGATCTGGGACTTGATCGATTCGAGCAAGCGAACGTCGGCATATGCTGCTAGATTGACGTTCACATCCATCATCATCGCATCGTTGAGCCCCGATGCTTGAGCCCAGGCGTGTTTCAGCCTTGATTCAAGCATCGCGCGACTGTATAATCTGCTGCGCCCTTGAGACTTCTGGGCTGTCCAGTGAACCTCGACCAGCTCGGTCAGTTTCGACTTCTGGACCTTGCCGGCCAGGGTCCGGGGATAGTCATCCAGCCCTAAGGCCGACACCGGAACCACACCTGCCGGGACAAAGAGAGCCCCCATCTTTGTGCGGACGGTATCTTGGAGCTGACGTGCCAGCTGCTCGTCGACATCCGTCCGCACCACCGCAACAGGCACCTCACCAGCAACCTGATCCGGTGCTCGGACGATCTGGGGCTCAAGCACATGGAACTCCGCCGTCTGGCCCAGCACCGCCTCAATGGCCGAGGGCTCGATATTCTCACCCCCTCGAATGATCGTGTCGTTATACCTCCCCACCAGATACAGCCGCCCATCCTGCCCGACAACCGCTTTGTCCCCCGTGCAGAACCACCGCCGGCCGTCCTCGCCGGTGTAGAACTTCTCGTCGTCCCTGTTCCCGATATACCCATCTATCAGACTGGGCCCGGAGAAATGCACTTCCCCGACGGCTCCCAGCGCGACAGGGACTCGACTACCTTTGGCACAGATGCGCACCTTCGCGCCAGGCAACGGCCGCCCAATCGAGACATCGCGGCCCGAAATCACCTTGTCGACGCTCTCCGCCGCGTCCGTCGACACGACAATCCCCTCGGTCATGCCGTAGAAGTTCTCCACCGCTTGCGCCCCGAGATGGCTCAGACAGATGCGGAGCACCTCCTCCGTCGGCGGCGCACCGGCCAGGACCACCCGTTTCAGGGAGTGCAGCTTCTGCGCCGGCGCGACCGCCACGCCACTCAGAGCATGCAGCATGGTGGGCACCAACGCGGTGTGCGTACAGCGTTCCTGGCGGATCGTCTCGATCAGTCGCTCGGGGGCGAACGCTTCGCCCGGGAAGACGATGGTGGCGGCATTGAGGAAGGCAGCCATGAGGAACATATACCCGAAGGCGTGGTTGTTGGGCAGCACGACGGCGACGCGATCGCCGGGGAGCATGGGCCGGTTGGGGCTCGATCGCCAGGCGCGGGCGACCGTCGTGGGGAAGGCGGAGGCCTGCACGAAGCAGCCTTTGGGCAGGGAGGTGGTGCCGCTCGTGAAGAAGATGGATGATTCCTGCTGCTGCCGGTGTGGCTGCTCTAAGGAATCATCCGACAGACGACTACCATCGTCAGAAAGTTGGCTGACATCAGACCGACGGTCCTCATCCTCGTCCTCGTCCCGTTCCTCCTCCGCCAGCTGCACATCCTTCCCACCGGGATTCGTGACATGCATAAGCTCCTCAAACCCAACCCACCCATCCCTAACCCCTACCTCTCCCCCCGATATCGCAACCAAACAGCACTCCACCTGCAGCTGCAACCCCCGAACCAACCCCGCAACCCGCTCCAACCCAGCAGCAGCAGCAGCAGCAACAACCACCACCGAATCGGGTTGACACGCCCCCACCGCAGTCTCAAGCATATGCACCGCCTCTCTCTCATGCCCTAAGCACCTCGGACTCAACGGCACATGCACGCACCCAATCCGGTACGCCGCCCACGTCGCGACCACGTATTCCGCTGTGTTCGTCGCAAACAGCACCATCAGCGAACCCCTCCCCACCCCGCGGCGGCGGAGATTCGTCGCGAACCGCTCGATCTTCTCGTCGAGTTGCGCGTACGTCCAGCGCAAGCCCTCTGCAGTGGGCTTTTGTGGCGTTGTCGAAGACGCTTCATCTTGGACGGTATAGAGGCTCGCGGGCTGGTGGGGACAGACCAGCGCGAGCGTGTCCGGGTGCTCGCGCACATTCTGCCGGAATTGTTGGTCTAGGGAGGGGAAGGGGTTTGCGAGGAGCGGAGGGGGCCCGGTTAGGGAGCTGGGTTGGGCCATTTGCTCTGCTGTGGGCGGGGTGTCTTTTGGGAAATAAGATGAGTGGGTGGTGAGGCGATGTTGCTCTTGGGGGATGGGAGGATCAAGAGCCTGACGAAGGAGGTAAAGATAGGTACTAGGTATGCTTGCGGGTACTGGAAGCCTGGGTCGACCAGGCGGGACTTGCCTTCCCTGAACCACGTGCAAAATACAAGAGTACAGGGAAGCAGCGATGTGGGGAGGGGGTGGGATGGAGTCTAAATGGGATTTCCGCGATGCAGTCGACCTAATCAGCTAGACTTGGCTGAAATCGCTGGACTCATCTACGGAGCACATGGTTCATCGACTGCCGGACCACTGGGGCATGCAGGGTTGTCAAAGTGAAACGATCTGCAGTGAGGATTCGCTGCGTACGAGTTTGTGACGAGAAGGTTGTTCACTGACTGACCTAGACTAACTCCTATGAGTGAATAGTGATCGAGTGAGGTGGGTCTTGGGATTTGGGTCCTAGGAGCAAAAGACTTGGACTTGCAACATCGAGGCAGGGATGCACCATCTTCCCGTCCATGCTTAATCTTCAATGCGGAAGAGTATCCTACATGCGTATTGGACCGAAGGTAACAAGATAGAGCACCACATGCTCTATGTAGTACAAAATAAAAGCAAAACCCCAAACCCCCAAGATCCCAGCGTCAACAACAGAAATGAGAACGCAGTCCCACCCAAATCCAAGGCCGGACACCTACATACTTAGTTTAGTGTACGTAGTTACGGAGAACTCCCTGCAAAATTACAACCCCCAAGATCGACCTCCTAACAACCAGATCCGTCCGATTCTCCCGAGAGCTGAAAAGTGGATCCCCGAAAGAGGCCTGCTTGCCGCGCATTTGTGATACGGGTATTTTACAGATACGCCCGCCACAGGCCCACAACCCCCCTCTTCACAGAACACCGAAGAGTGATCGACTGTCATGCAGATGCATCACCTCCCCTCGTCTTCAAGCTGTTGAGAAGGGATAGCAAGCTGTTGAGAAGGGATAGCATCATGACGCAAATCATGGCCCAGAACCACCGGGATCATGCATGGCGATGGGCTACGAAGGTTTAATGCTTGCTGTCAGCGTAGTAAGAAGGACGCAACTTGAGGGCAGGCTGAGTCCACGCCACGAACCCATCCTCATCTTTGACGCTAAACTTGCATCATCGTCGCTGATCGGGTCAGTGCACTGCAGCAACCCCCTTTTTCCCTTTGCTGTTCCTTTTCCGACAAAGTACTCCGTAAAGAAGGTCAGATATGAGTAAGAGAAATTCAAGATTCGAACCATGGACAAACCACCC